CGGCATAAGAGTGTCCGTGCAAGTTTTCGAATAAGTTGTGGTTGTGAATACCACAACTAACATCCAATTTCCACTCAGCCTTTTCATCATCCTTGTGTTCCCTTGTCCCCTTCAATTTAAACGGACAATTGCATTTCTTTGAACCGGTGCTCCTTTTTCCCGGTCTTTGATCATCTTCACCTGGTACCTTCTTGCCAACATAATGGCCCCCACGCTCACAACGAACAATCACATACGGTGTCCTACGTCCTCTATCCCCGTCACTCGAACCCCCAATCATTAACACCATTCCAATTCTTTTACATACTTCACGAACCCATGCCATTAAAGCTTCTTTTGTTGGGAATTTTTCGGACGTGGTAAATGAATGGGTGCAATCGATCTACACAAAAGAGTCGAAAATATAAGACAAGTAAATTTGCAACAGGAACAAATTCGACACTTAAGTGGCCAAATTATGAGGCATTTTCCAACCCTTAATTGTCAAAAATTAGCGTAGATTTCAACAGTTAGTTGTCAAAATCCATGGGGAGCTTCGACACATAAATGTCGAAAAATCGGTGTTTTTCGACACAAAATGTGTGAAAAATACCCGGAGAGCTTACTCCTTGCTCGTAAACTACCATTCTATTGTCGTTGAGACCTTTTTGCAAATTGTGTAGGTTTTGATTTCTTTTGTTTTGGGGTTTTTTAGGAGGGTTTTTGGGGAGGGAGAAGAAGGAGGTGGAGGAGGTGAGGGGTTTGGGAGTGAGGAGGGAAATGTTTTTTTAGGTTTTTGATTATTTGGTTTTTAAGAAAGAAAAATAGTATTTGTAATATTATTTGGTTTTAATTTTCATTAAGGGTATTAAAGTAATTTCCAATTAATTATTTAATTTCTATTTTTTTGGTATTCAACTAAGCAAAAGTTAGTATTCAAAATAGTTGCCCCCTATTTTTTTATACTCATCATCTGTCGTTTATTTAGTGTGTATAAATTTATTTATTTTGTTTTTCCTTGTTTTGAAATGAATGAATTGTTTTTTAGGGTAAATTACACTTGGGGTAAATTACATAAATATAATCTTCTAGATTTTGTGGAACGTTCTTTAGTTTGTACTTGTTTTGTGCAAAAATGCATTTTCTGATGCACCACAATTAGATATTACAAGCTAAGAGACACATAATTTAGAAGATTTCACTAAATTTGACATCACAATGATGAACGTGTAAGAAAGCTAAAAATTGAGGGTGGTTGTAATTACCTAAATATGAGTGTTTTTTTTGTAATTTAATCTTATCTTCAGGGGTAATTGTAATTTACCCTAAAATGTTATTTGAATTTTCTAGAAGAATGTTCTGGCAGCTATATATAAATACTATTCATGAATTGAGGCCCAAGAAGCATCACAGAAAAAAGAATTCAACACGCCATTCTCACCATATTTGATATTACTCCTATTTTGAATAGAATTGTATACCAAGAACCAAACATTCATTTACTCAGGTTCCTCGAACCCACCATTCTCAATTAAAAATTAATAAATATATCCAAAAAATAATAATAATTAATTTCAACCTCCTCCTGTATTCTAAATTCTAATACTAATTCAACTCACCCAACAGAACCCAACGCGTTTCTACACACAGTTTCACACCATCTTCACTCGTACTGTACGATTTATATATCAACAAAATCAATCGAAGGTCTTCTTATTCTTGCCACTCTCTCTCTCTCTCTCTCCTCTCTCTCTCTCTAAAGAACCCTAGCGACAAGATTCAAGATTTGAAAACACAGTACGATGATTCATCATCGGATCAGACAATCATTCATCTGGGCTTTAACACTCGCTCTTCTTCTCTCCGCCACTCACTCCATCCGAATATTCCCACAAGATTCTACAAACACAGAATACACAGAAGCTCCAATCTACAACAATGGCAACCAATGCCAGAATCCGTCGCTAATAATACACATAGCAATGACCCTCGATTCCAAATACCTACGTGGATCAATCGCATCCGTCCATTCTATCTTAAAGCACGCATCTTGCCCGCAAAGCATCCACTTCCATTTCATCACAGCCACTTCCGCCGCCTTCGATCTCAACAACGTTGTCGAATCCGTGTTCCCGAATCTGTCTTTCGAGATTCACCCGTTCGCAAACGAGGAGAAGATCAAGCAGCTGATATCCCACTCTATTCGCCCGGCTTTAGAAGAGCCGTTGAACTACGCAAGAATATACCTTTCGGAGATTCTTGATTCGTCCGTCGCCCGCGTCGTTTATATCGACTCCGATACTATAGTAGTGGACGATATCCGAAACTTGTGGTCGACTGCTTTAACGGGTTCTAGAGTAATCGGAGCTCCAGAATACTGCAATGCGAACTTCACAACGTACTTCAATAACGGATTCTGGGCCGACCCGGTTCTCTCGAGCGTGTTCGCAGGGAAGAGGCCTTGTTATTTCAATACGGGTGTGATGGTGATCGATCTGGAGAGATGGAGGAAAGGAGACTATACGAAGAGAATCGAAGGGTGGATGGAGATTCAAAAGCAGAGGAGGATATACGAGTTGGGTTCTTTGCCGCCATTTATGCTGGTTTTCGGTGGAGATATTGAAGGGATTGATCATAGGTGGAATCAACACGGGCTTGGTGGTGATAATTTGGTTAATAGTTGCCGGAGCTTGCATCCGGGTCGGGTCAGTTTGCTCCATTGGAGTGGGAAGGGGAAACCGTGGGTTAGGCTCGACCGGGGCAGCCCTTGCCCTGTCGATCTTTTATGGGCACCTTACGATTTACGAAGAACGAATATGTGAACCTGGGGTTCGATTTTTTTCTGCTACATCATTCTTTTTTTTTAGAAAAAAATATTCTTTTGTAAATGAAAATAGGGAGAGATATAGGGTCGAGAAATGAGATTGTATGTAATGTTACCAACATCAGCTACTCGTAGCACGGAGGATTTTCATTTCTCGAAATCCCCTGTACGAGGCATTCTTTTTGGAATTCAATTGAATTTAAATCTGAATTTTTCGAGTTAGATATGCATATATTCAAGCTGCAACTTCATTTACCCTCAGCAGTTATTTTATGGAATTTACGGTTACCGTTAATACAACACCAACATTATTCAATTCCGAATTCAGAAGAATACCTGTTGTACCTTCTTCAAGTTCGACTTATTTCATCATCTACCGTCACTTCATCAGACTACAACTACGGGCAATGCGACCATTAGTTACTTCATCAAAAGAACGAAAATCAAGATCAAGAATGGGTTGATGTCCTAATGAATATATTTTAGAACAATTTACTGTTTCTCTGTGTAACGATATTACCAGAACTGAGATTAGTAGAAATCTAATGAAGCATGTAAGTTTTAGGCCAAAACCAAGTAACCTAATCTAGGTACCTGTTAGCTAAAAGTGGGCATGGTTCTCATTTATTCGAATTGATCGACACACAAAATTCCAGACAAGAATTCAATATGGACCAACTCCCTAATACGTGTCTGAATTAGGCTCTGCCTACAACCTTGGTGGGGAAGCTATCTTGACAGACGAAACCAATAATTGTTTTGTGAAATTCGGCAAGTTCCGTAAACGGACTAATTCAAACAGACATCATCTGGACCATACGAATTCCATATTCCAGCTAATTTGTTAGGCAAAGATGATCGGCTTTGGGTGTTCAGACATATGACAATTAATGTAATGAATGCATATCTTTGGATTACGTGAATAGATACGTTTCTATAAATTGGAAAATAAGAATGTATACAAAGATAAAAAAAGAAGAAATATACATCACCCTTTTTATACTTATAACAAACCAACCGCACAACTCAGATGCAATCTGTTCTCCAACCCTCTTAGATGATGCCCCATTAGCATGCACCTGCAATAAATAAATAAATAAATAAAATAAAATAAAAAAATCCACTTTCATTACAATCTCGAAATGGACAAAGAATTAGGAAAGACTACAATGAGAAAACATATTCACACTAACCAGAAAAGCAGCTTGGCCAAATAATCCCTTGAAGTGCCAATTGTATCACTATATTCCTTGTCCGTTTCTTGATAGTTCTGTATACTGCTTACAGCCAAGTCACCCTCATAATCGGACGTGGTTTCGTCTTTGAAAAATCTTCGTAGTATGTTTTGAGAAAGTTCATGGATGATTTCCTCCACTTCAGGCGATGATGGTCTGGATAGCTCGGCTACCTGAAAATAGAATGTTCGTAAAATGATTACATGGCGAACATAAAAAAAAATATCAGAAAAAATGCTAAAACTACGTACTCGATTATTACCATATCTGATTCCAACGATCTTAAGTACTCCAGCAGATTGTTATTACTATTTCTGATATGCTCCATTTCCAAACTTTCCTGTTTCTGGGCATGAAGCTCCTACAGAAAAAAGAAAAGAATAAACTTAAAAAGCAATAAATATAAATACTAAAAGGAGTTCCGTTGCATAAAAAGTTCATACAAGACGAACTTGTAATCAATTTATTGAGCTGAAACACGTAAACTCTTAATATGAAAACAGTAATCAACGTTAATCCACTATGAATATCCATTAACACTAGCCAATGAAATGTAAGCATGCGTGGAATTTGTATAACTAAATATCACCATTTTCGAAGGGGGCAAGACATCGAACATAGGAAAGAACAGTTACGTGTCCTTTATTACCATGTCTGCAAGCAACAGATTCAGTTACTTGCATCATTTTTCAATCAGTTAGTTGCCCTCCTGTTCTTGCCTTTGAATTTGGATCAAATCATTTTTTTGTTTCCTTTAGACTATTTCTACTGACGACGACTCAATACGGACATGCTAAATTTATCTATTGCAAATTTAATTCATCGGATCAACTTCTTATAATCGGTCAACGCTCATCTGTCAATAAATTATTTAAGCTTGTTCCGACACTGGTTATGTTCATGCGCTTCAGTTTTTCAATTAGAGTAGATAACGTAAACGTAAGGCACAACTAGATAGTTTCTTGACCCTTTTGTCTTTCAAGCATGAAGTTCAGAATATAAGGTAATCGTTAACCAAGATCAATTATCATCGTCTATTAGCCTCACTAATTGTGAATTGAATTTTTTCAACACGTAAAAGCCGAAAATCAAATACATCCATCTGTTGATCACAAACATCCCCACAAAGGCAAATTTCAGAATATAATAATAAAATCACTAACCTGTTTAGCGGCGGACAACTCCGATTTTAATTGCTGAATATAATTTAATGCTTCTGGTGACAAATCCTCAAAAGTTTGAGTATTCGTGTTTTTCGATTCTTCTGCAGAGCCTTCAACTCCACCATTAAAATCTTTTTCACCTCCCCCACTGTCACTTGCCTCCCACCTCACCTCAGAGGTGCCATCGTTATTGCAAACAATGGAGCTTTTCGAACTATGTAGCGATATATCGAAATTCCTCATCAGTGATATTCGATATTCCGCATTCCACAACGTATACCTAGAAAGACACATGTTAATTCAGCTGCATAACAAAGAACCAATACCTAACTCACATAACCGATTTTTGAATGTTGATATATATATTATACAGTTAAATATTGAGCAAATATTTTCTTATCAAACACTGAGATAAGAAAATGAAAATTATGGATAGAAGCAGTAACGGTGTGAACTGATCGGAAGGGTTAAATTAATTACCCGGTGGCGATAGAAGAGACTATGAGGCGATCGAGTGGGTGCTTGGAAACGGTAACGGTGACGGTGAACTGATCGGAGGGCAAAAGTCCAAGCATCGTAGAAATCGTCTGCTTCATTGAATCCTTGGCGGAATCGGAAACCCCCTTGGAAATGACGGAATTGTCGAGAGGCTCAATCCTCTTCAGCAAATTAGCTATGACGGAGAATTCGCGCCCGAAACCTGATTTCCTGGTGGAGACGAATTCGTCGGAGACGCCGCCGCCGTCGACGCCGGAGATGAGGCAGCTGATTGGGGAGCGTTTTTTGGGAGATGCGGGGAGCAAGGGGCGGATGAGGAGGTGGTGGTGGGAGAGAGGGGACTGAGGGGGGAGGAAGGTGGGTTTAAGGGAGAAGTCGGCGGCGCGTGAGATGAGGATGGCCCTCGCCGCTGCTGAGGCGGCCATTGAATTTAATTTGTGGTGAGTAATTTGGGGGATTCCGGCAGCCCTGCGGCGGGAGAGAAGGGATTCTCTTCTTACCTTGTAATCTGCGTCGGGAGCCTCAGCCCACCAATATTTGTTGCTGTTGATTTTGTTGGGTGGTGAAGTTTTGGTTTAAATAATGGGCTTCTTTTCTCGTTTATTTACAGATTCGCCATTGCAGCTGCTAGTGACGTCACTCTGTGAAAAGATTCTTGACTGTGACTGTGTAAGTATTATTTATTTATTTATTTAATTTCCGGAATAAATATTTGCCGTTAGTAAAAATGAATGGGCCCTATTCGAATTTAGAATTCGGGTTTGGTAGACCCGAAATTGTGGGCCTGTTGGACCTTGGTCTCAGCTTTTATGTGGATCCACATAATTATAAATTAGCAATTCGCACTGACATTGACATTAATTTATTTACACCATTAAAATTGTGCCACGTGGTTTTAGGCGAAATTCGCCCAACTTTGAATGTTCATTTCTCTCACTAGAAATTATAAATGAAAAAATAAAAATAAATATAAGAGTTTAGGAGTTAATTCTAGAAACTGAAATGTTGAGAGAGTTTTTGAGTTTTTTTACTTTTTGTTTTTTGAATAATGAAAATAAAATGCATGAATGGTTAATTTGACCTGCGTATATCATTACCCTTCTAGAAAATAACATTTTTTTTAATAACGATGTGCGACTCAAAGTGAAATATTGAATGACGAATTAATTTTAAATTCAATAGTGAATTGTAGTATGTTATTATTATTATTTTTTGTTTGATTCTAGCAAAATTCAAAACACGAAAATTATAATCTTTTGAGCTAACTCTCTGATCTAATTTGAGTCAGCTAGATTGGATATCATATGATGGAAGTTATGCATGAATGAGTAAATTCAAAATAATATTAAAATTGTGGACTATGTTTATTGATTCATGCATATATATCTCATCCGACATCTAATATTGATAATTCAAATTGGATAAGAAAACTAATTCAAATAACTATAAAAGTCGTGTTTTTAGTTCTGCTAAATTCAGACTATAAAACGATCAAAATCACGTATAAAATCGAAACGGTACTCCCTAAAACTGAAACGACATTTATTACGTTCCTACTTATATATAATAACCTCAAGATCAACCAATATTATTATTTTATATAAAAAATAATTTAAAATAAATATTTTATAAATGATGGGCTCTAGCCTAAAATAAGCCCATTAAGGATTGAAAAATAAAATAAAATAAAATATTTATATAAAGCCAAGTTTTGAAGGAACAACCAGAATCAAATATCACCCTGAAGAAAACATTCATTCATTCATTCATTCGTTCACCAATTTCGCTCCGCGTAAGCTGCAAACAATGGCTTCTTCCGCCACTCTCAAACGATGGCTCAGGCCCGAGGTCTATCCTTAGATCTTCTCCTATTTCTCTCTCTAACAAAATAAAATAAAAATAAATAATAATAATTGATCCTTTTTCGTATGGTTTATCGATGTATCTAAAGGATCTGATGATTTTTCTGGCTATATTTTTAGGTCTACCCTTTGTTCGCAGCCGTCGGAGTGGCCGTTGGGATTTGTGGAATGCAATTGTTCCGTAATATTTCTACTAATCCTGAAGTCAGGTCTAATTTTTGCCCTAAATATTGCATCTTTCTCCAAGTTCTATATATATATATATATATATATATATATATATATATGGTGGATGTGTGTATTAGATCTGTATACAAATTGCGCATAATTTTTTTTGTTTTTGTAAATTTGAATTGGAAAAGAGATAAAAAATGGTAACAAGGAGGTGATGCGGGTTATAATGGATTGTTATCTATTTTATGTAGGCTTTTAATCTTGTTTGTGGATTTATTGTTTCGTTATCGGCTCGATTATTTGGATTTTTCCGATTTCACGCAGCTGATAGGCTTGTAATTTTTTTTGCTATTTGTTTCTGCAACATTAGATATTTCATCAACCTGGTTTAATAGTTCTAGTGTTTGCCAAAGTTTTACATAGCAAAAATGCAATAATTATGGGGTTCATCATATCGAATTTGTTTCACTTCTATCGTGTAATGAACGACATTCGTCTTTGTATGAATTTTGAATGTAAATCTTGAATTTTTTATTTGCGATATGTAGGGTAACTAAGGAAAACAGAGCGGCAGGTGTGTTGGATAACTTTGCTGAAGGGGAGAAGTACGCAGAACATGCTCTTCGGAAATTCGTTCGTAACAAGTCTCCAGAGATCATGCCATCCATAAACAGCTTCTTCACCGACCCCAAATATTGATTTGTTTAACGTCTATTGATTGTTTGGAATAGTATTACTATTAACGATGGAGACTGCACATTTTGTCTTTGATTGAGCACAAAATATTCAGAAATTGGCTAGGCGAATAAATTTAATAAAACTATATTGGAGGATCAGTCTTTCTTTTATAAAAATTCATTGATTTTTTATTATCTTTTATGCATGTTCTAAAAGATTTTTTCATCTCTGGCTGAAGTTTTTGTTTTGTACGCATTATTACGTTTGTACGACGCTATCGATCGAATTAACAGCGAGCAAGAAACTGAAGGTAAATGAACTGTGCCCGCAGAATTACGAAATGAGAGAAAAGTAGCAAAAAACATGTTTTTGAATGCAAAAGTACAGAAATGTAATGGCTGTGAATTTAAACATCACAGATTCCAGACAAAGAAAAAAACGACGATAGAATTCTTTATCCTTGACGAGGTATCAAGTGCCGCGAAAATTAAAGTCGAATGTACATCAGGATCCGGGTTCAATCTGCTGCTTATCCTTGGCCTCAACATACCAGGAGTTCCATGCTTCAGAATAATGATGAAAAAGGTCATTGACGGCTGTAACAATATCGTTAAAAAAAAATAAAAATCAATAATCTAAAGCTTGCCATACTCGGAAGATTGAGCTACGAAAACACTTAACGAGCACCTTGGTTGCAATACTGTGGTCGATAATCCCGGAATAGATTCTGCCAGTCCTGATTCTGCCCACCATTCTTGTTTTCACGAGCCTCTGATTTGGTTACATTTGGAGTGAAGGGGCCGAATACAAAATCCTTTGTGCCATAATTCTGATGCTGCTCGGTTAATACCTCCTCTTGTACAGCTTTTGAGTTGTCTTTCGAATGTATTCCCATATTTACTTTCTCGATTAGTTTCCAATCAGTTGAGGAGGTATTGCATCTTTTTACCAACGTATTAGTGATCTCGGTCCCAAATGCTCTCCTCTTGGTATTTTTCGCATCCGGTGCAATAGATAGCCCATCTCCACAACTTTCCATGTCTATCCACCTATATGCCGATTTTCCAATCTCAGAGCAAACCTGTAAAGTACCAATGTTATTTGAAAAACATTAGCCGATAGAGTATTGAACAATCATTCATCGAATTGAGCCACGTGATGAAAGTCACAAATCAAACTTGAATAAGGAAGCCAAATTACACGCAACAGTAGAAAATGGTCCAAATTACGAAAAGAACATATCCTCTGAAAGGAATTCACAACAAACTAACCTTTTCAATAAGTTTCATAGACGAAAACACATTTGCAATATCATACAAGCGTCTGGACTTCGCTGCAGAAGTATCCCAAACAAGAAACGTTAGATAGAGTTGCATGTACATTTTTGTCATATTGACCATAATGAAATCGAATACAGTAAATATGAAGGTTATCGACTCATCGTTACTTCTCAAAGCTTTTTCATCATGGCCATCCCATAGCAAAGCTAATGCAGCCTCGTCGAGTGAGATTAATTCCATCTTAAGAGATTAAAAAGGTGGAGATGGATCACATTGATGCATTGAATTGACTTTTTCAGAACCCAAATATACGCAATACTTACATCAGAACAAAGGAAAAGCTTGACAAAATTTTGCGTCAGAAGTCCCAATGACTTTTGCCTCTTGTGTTCTATAAAATCACATGAACAAATACACAAAAGAAAAATTGATGGGCAGTATAGAATATAAAAATCCACAATCTAACTTTCTTTACCATTACTAATACAAAAGTGGCTCAAACAAGAAACATCATATAGATCGAGATTTGTCTGATGGGAGATACTCACCACTTTTATCTGATTCCGAACATTTGTCTTGCCACTCAGTTTTCGAGTCGGAAGGTAGGGCATATTTCTTCTGATTTGAGACCTTTGGAAGAGAAATCGTACATAGTTAGATGATACGAGCAGCATAGTGAATAACGGTCTTGCTAGATCGAGATTTTATTTGATAATAACACAAAAGTAACAAAAAATACATTAGCAACATAGGTACCAAACTCCTCCTTTAGTCCTTGTTCCTAAAAAAAGAGACGAAGATAGAACAAAGTCAGTGATTCGTTAAGATTTAGAGACGATTCTTGATTTTATCTGTAACACGTAGCCAGTAGAAAATATCCACCTTGAGGACTTTCAAGGCCTCGGGAATTGCACCAAAACCCTTCCAAGTATACTGATTCTTAGCTTTCTTCTGCAGAACCTGCAATTTTTTTTCCCACTCGTTAAAGTTTTTATTTATCATGAAACACATTAGACTGAATTTTTAGAAAGTTACCCCAATGCCCTCCAAAATATTTACAATGTCATATATTCTTCGTCGTTCTACACCTGAACACAAGTTTAACGCAACGAAATAAGATCATACAATAATATGTATTGTGTTAATTGAAAACAACGTAGCACGATGAATATATAAACTCCTCTCACAATTTCATACTGGCATGTAATTTCATTTTTCATAGAGTCTACATTAATTAATATATAACAAAATGTCCTCCTCCTTGTTTTCATCATCAAAATCCCGAGGTCCGAATATGGAACGGAAAACGTATTAATTTCGTCAATAAATTCCAGATTTATTTATACATGGAAACTCCCATAAGCATTTATACTGGTTCAAAGCTCTCCTTTTTTTTTTTTTTTTTTTTTCTGCATAACTAAAAATATGAAGATGCTTGATGCTAATTTCTGCAACCCCTCAATGAAGATAGTCAACACCATCAAATGCAAATATGGAAAATCAAAATTGAGAGCAAAAGGACCATTACCCAACTGAAGAGCAGCAGCGTCCAATCCGATAGTGTCCACACCTTCACGATTGTACAACTTGAAGAAACTGCACAAACCCAAAAATCAATTTAAATCGGAAAATTCCATCAAACAAAATGCGTATGTGCGTTTGTCGTATCAGATTCGAATGGTGAAATTACTTGGTGCATAAGCGGCCGAGAGATTTCTCCTTGCGACAATAAGGAGACGCCATTTCCAACAAATGAATGGGGAAGCTTGCTTACAGATATTTACCGAAACGGATGATTGTTGAAAGGGGGAAAATCATAAAAAGAGGATTAGGGATTTTGAATTTTGGGATTAAGGGTTTACAGATACGGAGAGAAGTGTGTATTGTGTGCTTGGATGAGTCGCGGGAATTTGAATTCAGATTGAAGCGCCAAGTAATCCGTGTTATCACTTAATTACTTAATTTATTTCTTCTAGAATTATTTATTTTTGTTATTCCAATTTATTATTTACTATGATAAAGTTCATTAGATATATAAGTTTAGAATGTATGTTAAATTTATTTAAATACTTGATATTTTGTATAGGTGATCGAACTATGTTCCCTGGCTGTGATGATGTCAGCCTAGTTTTGCGTACGTTAGTCCTTAACTTCCACCAGAATCTTGGTCGACGTCGTTCCTGTAACACCGAGAAGGGTTTCCCGGCGTAGAACTTTCTACGATCAAGTCGACATTTTTTCAACCGAGCTTTAGTTCGAGCCGAACTTCATAGCTTACTGAACTAAAATATGTGTCCAATATTCGTTCTTAAATATAAGCGTTTAACGAGCAATCTCAAATCGAGTATCACGTAACTTGGCTTGATTATATGCTCTAGAATGCTAAGTAATAAAGGCAAGAACATATAGAAGGGAGAAGGAAAAATGAAGAAAATAAAATCAAACTGTCACTGCAGAAGAAAACCAGAAATTTCTTTCTCCTAAGTTTTTAAGCCCACAATCATATCCAAATACAGAGACAAAAGCATTCAACTACAATGAATCTAGAGTACACGAAAAAAAACTAAAACAAAAAAGAAAAAAGAAAAACGGTCTTAAACAATGCCCAAACATGTATATAAATAGACAAATAAAATAAATCTCCTCCCCTGTTTTTTCATTCAGCAGCTAAAAAACGAGAACCCGAACTCTATTGATCGACCGTAGTAACCTCTTGCCACTCCCCATCGACCGATTCTTTCCACAGAGTGACGTTATTGTCACCAGAAGCAACAGCAAGTAAATTCCCAGTCAGTGACCAAGAAACCCTCCAAACAGGATTCTTGAAATCCTTCAAAACCTTACCCTCCCATTGGTCGCCTTCCTTAACCGCGGTCCACACAACCACGGTACCATCCTGAGAAGCACTGGCAATAGTTGACTTTGGAAGTCCAAGATTCGGGGCCCACGCAACATCTCTCACCCAATCAGAATGCATTTGAAGAGCAGGGAAGCAGTCCATTTTCCAGCTGCCGTTGTACAGCTTCCACACCTTAACGGTGTTATCACATCCACCAGAAGCCAGCTTCTGAACGGGCTCGAACGCTCCAGACCCGACTAACGCACCGGGAGCCATAGACGGGGCCCACGATACCGAGGTCACCCCCACAGGGTGGGCTTGGTCTATCTTGGTGGTCTCCCATCCACCGTCCGATCGGGAGGTGTAGACTGAGATATTCCCATCGGACGAACCACAGGCCAAGCAGAATCCAAGCTCGTGAGGCGCCCAAGCAATGGAGTTAACCGAAGATTTGTGGTCGCTGAAAACGTGGAATTGTGACCATTCTTTCTGATTGCCTTCCTTCCAGATAATGACTTTGCCATCGTACGAGCATGAAGCGAGAATGGAACCGAATTTGGGGTGGGCCCACGCTACCTGCCAGACTGGACCTTGGTGACCGGTCAAGGTGGCGAGATGCTGAGAAGTGGAGTTGTTCCCCACTCCGATTATTTTAATGGTGGCATCGGATGAAGCTGTGGCCACTCGTTTTCCATAGTAATCCATGGCTACATCGTGAACGACATTGCTGTGGCCTGTTTCTATCTTCTGTGCAGGCATCTTTTTTCTGGTAGGTTAGAGTTTCTTTACGTATTCAATTTTTTCAGCTCCTGTAACATTAATCCAAACGCATATCAATCCTACGAAATCTCCAAGTTATTCCAAATTTCACATAAACACCACCCAGCAACACAATTTAACCCACGATAAAGCAAAAGAGATATGCTACATAAAACAATAAAGACACGATTTTCCCAGTAGGAAAAGGCATTAACTAATCGAAATAACAGAAAGCAGGATCCAAAATTTACAAACTAACTTTTTGTTTCAGCCAAATTAGATCTTTGTATTGTTTATTTGGGGGCAAAATTAGCATCCCAGAAACCTAATCTCACTCCACACAATCTTAAATAAAAAACGTCTAAAGCCGGAATCTTCCTTGTATGCATTAATAGGTTCGAAAAGAATTATCACGTCACTCGAGATCAATTATTTTAATCTTTAAAAAATAATACGAACACTGCATACCTCGACAATTTAATTTGATTATGTAAATCCCGATCGAGAAAAAACCGAATTTACATCAGCACGATTCGAATTAAGGGAGAAACAAGCACGTATAGACATTAATGAAACGGATCTAATACTTCCTTCAATCCCAGATCTCAAATTTTTAGAAACGGAAAAAAAAAATAAAAAAAAAACGTGAAATCAAACAAAATTACGAAAAAGGAAAAAACATATTCCCGAAAATTGACAAACAAGAGTTTTACCAGAGAGAAACAATCGATTCAGATCGGATTGGTAGCTTGAGAAGAAAGGGAAAACGCCGATGGAATTTGGTGGAGGGAACTGCAGTTGTACATACAAGCAGTAATAATGCTTTTGCGTATTTAATGAGGATGTGTTTGGTTACTTGGATAGCAGTATTCCTATTCCCTTTTTTGTTTGGTTACAATGGAAATAATACAATTTATTATTTTTTAAATAATATATCTAATAATTTTTTTTTTTTTACCATAATTAATAAAGAATGGGAGATAAAATTGTAATTACCTAAATCAAATGATTATGTAATTTATATTTATAGACTACAAAATATAGAATAAATTATTGATTAAAATCAAATCCTGTTTATTTTTAAAAATTACAAACAATTTTGATTAGCTATACTATTTAAGCTTTTAATTGTAATTTAAAATTGATTTTTACAGTTAAAATTCGATTTTTGGTTAAATCGAAGCAGATCAAAAAATTGTAGTCTACTCTCACACAGCAACCATTGACAGTAAATCAACGGATCTAGCTCCACCGCCATGGCATTTTCGTCCCGCCGTGGCGCCGGCGGCTGGGCACAATCGCTCCTCCCGACCACCAAATCCGCCGCCAAGCAGCCTCGGAAGCCACGGAAGCGCACCACCGCCGCCTTCCGCGACTTCCTAATCTCCAACTTCTTCAGAATCGGACTCTGCTTCACCTTCATATTCTTCCTCTTCATCCTCTTCCGCTTCGCCGCCGTTCCGAAACCTCTGCAGTTCCGTTCGTCCACGTCACGAGCTCGCTCCACCCGGCCTCGGAAACCTCTTGTCCATAAGTCTCCGAACCACACTATTCTGGCAGCCGCCGTGGATGTTACTACTAAAGAGCTGTATGATAAGATCCAGTTCAAGGATGAGGACGGCGGGCCGTGGAAGCAGGGGTGGCGCGTGAATTACAAAGGAAATGAGTGGGATGAGGAGAAATTGAAGGTGTTTGTGGTGCCGCATTCGCATAATGATCCTGGATGGAAGCTTACCGTCGACGAGTATTATGATCGGCAGTCCAGACATATCCTTGACACCATTGTTGAAACTCTTTCCAAGGTTACAATTCTTCTCGGATTAAGCTCTAGGCACATTTTTTTTCTTCTTTCGAATCGATTTCTAAAGGTTGTGATTAGGTCAAGTGATGTATACAATTTTGTTGTTTTCTCTTACTGAATTATGCCTAAATGCCTAAATTCAGGTTCTCTCTGTTTTTACCTTTGATCTAGAAGGATCTCGGTTAATACTTAAGTGACTGTGAAATTTGAGGGTTTGAGTTTGATAGAGTTAGATTTAATTGGTTGGAGTTATATATATGTATAGGATAATCGACGGAAGTTTATATGGGAAGAGATGTCTTATTTAGAGAAATGGTGGCGGGATGCTTCGGATGTGAAAAAAGAATCGTTCATCAACTTAGTGCAGAGTGGACAGCTGGAAATTGTTGGAGGTGGATGGGTGATGAACGATGAGGTAATGTAATGTTAATTCCTGTTCAGTGTAGAAAGATCTTTGTGCTTTTATACGAATAATTCGCGGATCTCTATCCGCGATTACGTCTGTATATTAAATGTCACGTAATTACGTTTGGCCTATATCTGTTTATGCATTTTCGGAATTTCAATTTTCATTGTTACACACCCTATCATTAATCTGCACGATTCCCTCTAAAAAATCACTTGCATTTCGAGCACCACTTATTCGCCTAAAACTCTTTTTCAACTTCTGATTTCAGCACCACTTTTCAAATACTACCAACTACTGATTCTCTCCTGATTTTCACTTCTATTAGAATAAAGTACTTCTCTAAAAGCTTAAGCTCTTGCAAGCACTCCCTTATTCCCATGGAATACATTTATGAATGTTTCAGAGACTGTTTAAGTTACGCGTATAGAAAAAATGTCTTCTCTCATCTGTATAACGGTTAATGTTTTGATTCACCCATGTAGATTGGTCCAATCTTACTTATTATTTTGTTTTCTCTTTCTACAGGCTAATTCGCATTATTTTGCCATCATTGAACAGGTAATTCAATTTCTCTGTTTGTTCTTCTAGTCAATTAATTGGCTTTAATGTTACATTCTATGTAAGGTTAAATATCTAGGTTTTCATCTAACAGAAATAACTGAATGTGACACTAGTTTTCTTTAGTGAAATCTGATAGGAGTCTACTATAACTTTCAATGTTTTTTTCCACCATACTTATGGTACTCTACTAATCTCAAACATAAATAGACAGACACGTTAACTCTATTTGGTGCTCCTTTTTTGTTTTTTGGTGATCATATCTCACTTTCAGGTTACAATTTACATGCTTTTCCAAAACTCCTCTGTCAAGTCTGTGGTTTCAAAATTCGCATTAATAATGGAAAAATTTGATTTGTGTATGCATGAGACGTTTTAATTGTCCCGGTGTATTTTTGTTATGATAGTATAGTTTCTTTTGGCAACAGTCATATAGTTCTGGCGCTTCACATATATACCTTGTTACCAGGCGCTTCATAAATGAGCCAGTCCATGTAATGATGTTAGTCGAGGCAGCTTTTATATTCGTTTACTAGTATACCATCACATGCTAACTCTGTCTATATGCATAGGTGCTTGAAATTTTTGTTGGCTATGGTAGAGAAGTTCGATCTTTTACACGTCTCTTCTCTTTGCCCTATCTACTATGTTCTAGTAAATATTTGTAAATTGTATGCCTCAGATTACAGAAGGAAACATGTGGTTGAATGAAACCGTTGGAGTTATTCCCAAGAATTCTTGGTCAATCGATCCATTTGGCTATTCATCCACCATGGCTTATCTTCTCCGTCGAATGGGTTTTGAGAACATGCTAATACAGAGAACACATTATGAGTTGAAGAAGGAATTGGCATTGCACAAGAAATTGGAGTATGTATGGAGGCAGAGCTGGGACACTGAGGAGTCAACCGATATCTTTGTTCACATGATGCCCTTCTACTCTTACGATATTCCACATACTTGTGGGCCCGAGCCTGCTATTTGTTGCCAGTTTGACTTTGCTCGAATGCGTGGATTTGTGTACGAGCGTTGCCCATGGGGAGAACATCCTGTAGAGACTGACCAGGAAAATGTGAAAGAGAGGGCACTTAAATTATTGGATCAGTATCGGAAAAAGTCAACGCTTTATCGAACAAACACGCTTCTTATTCCACTTGGTGATGATTTCCGCTACATCAGCATCGATGAAGCAGAAGCTCAGTTTAGGAATTATCAGTTGTTATTTGATTATATCAATTCTGATCCTAGCTTGAACACTGAAGCCAAGTTCGGTACTTTGGACGACTATTTCCATACCCTACGTGACGAGGCTGAGAGAATAAATTATTCACATACCGGCGAAGTTGGCTCCAGTGAGATTGGAGGCTTCCCTTCTTTATCGGGTGATTTCTTTACTTACGCCGATAGAAATCAAGATTATTGGAGCGGCTACTATGTCTCGAGGCCTTTCTTTAAAGCGGTTGACCGTGTGTTGGAGCAAACACTTCGTGGTGCAGAAATGATGATGACTTTTCTGTTAGGGTACTGCCAGAAAGCACAATGTGAGAAGTTCCCTATTAGCTTCTCTTACAAGTTAACCTCTGCCAGACGGAACTTAGCTTTGTTCCAGCACCATGATGGTGTGACGGGTACAGCTAAAGATCACGTGGTTGAAGACTATGGGACACGTATGCATATGGCTTTACTGGACCTGCAAGTTTTCATGTCCAAGGCTATTGAAGTTCTGCTCGGAATTCGCCACGAAAAAAACGATCATCATCCAGCGAATTTTGAACCGGCACAAACAAGATCCAGATACGATGTTCAACCCATGCATAGAGCAATTAGTGCCCGTGAAGGCACTCTACAGACCGTGGTCATTTTCAACCCGTTGGAGCAAACAAGAAACGAGGTGGTGATGGTGGTTGTTGAAAGGCCGGATGTTACTGTACTGGACTCGAACTGGACGTGTGTCAAGAGCCAGATATCTCCCGAACTTAAACATGATAAGAACAAAATATTCACTGGAAAGCATCGTCTTTATTGGAAATCCTCTGTTCCAGCTATGGGATTGCAGACTTATTACGTTGCTAATGGATTCGTCGGATGTGAGAAGGCCAAACCAGCAACTCTCAGACTTTTCAGTCCTTCGAAGCAGCTTTCGTGCCCCACCCATTATTCTTGCTCGAGTCTAGAAAGTGACACAGTTGAAATCAGCAATCAAGATCAAACACTTACCTTCAATGTAGGTCATGGCCTGTTGCAGAAAATAAGCCGTAAAGATGGAGATGTGAACATTGTAGGTGAGGAAATTAGTATGTATTCCAGCACTGAAAGTGGGGCCTACCTCTTCAAACCTAACGGTGATGCTGTGCCTATAACACAAGTTGGTGGAGAAATGGTGGTTTCGGAGGGCAATTTGGTGAAAGAAGTTTACTCTTACCCAAAAACATCATGGGAGAAATCTCCCATCTCCCATAGCACCCGTATATATAACAGTGAAAGCACCATACAAGAATTTGTAATTGAGAAAGAGTACCACGTTGAGCTTCTTGGCCACAACTTCAACGACAAAGAAATGATAGTTAGATACAAGACAGATATTAATAGCAAGAGAATCTTCTACTCCGATCTGAACGGCTTCCAAATGAGCCGTAGAGAAACTTACGACAAGATCCCATTACAGGGGAATTATTACCCAATGCCCTCCCTTGCATTCATGCAAGACCCGAACGGGGACCGCTTCTCTGTTCACACTAGGCAGTCATTGGGTGTGGCGAGCCTAAAAAACGGATGGTTGGAAATCATGCTGGACCGTCGATTAGTGAGAGACGATGGTCGTGGCTTGGGGCAAGGGGTGATGGACAACCGTCCGATGAATGTGGTTTTCCACATCATAGTCGAATCGAACATTTCGTCATCTTCTGCAAATCCCGGTTCAGATTCTCACCCTCTCAGCCCATCCCTTCTCTCTCATCTGATTGGTTCTCACTTGAACTATCCATTACACATGTTCATTGCTAAAACCCCCGAGTCAATATCCGTACAGCCGCCACCTAGATCTTTTGCCCCTCTGGCGGCTTCGCTGCCATGTGATTTGCATGTTGTGAGCTTCAAGGTCCCTAGGCCTCTGAAGTACTCTCAGCAGCCGAATGGAGAGCCGAAATTCGCACTCGTTTTACAGAGGAGGCATTTTGATTCGTCGTATTGTAGAAAAGGGAGGTCGCAGTGTTTGACTATGGCTGATGAGCCTGTCAATCTTTTCGACATGTTTAAAGGGCTTGCTGTTTTGAGTGCAAAAGCTACGTCGATAAATCTTTTACATGAAGATACAGATATACTCGGATATAGTGAGCAGTTTGGTGCTGGTGCTTTGGAGGGGCATATCATTATATCTCCCATGGAAATACAGGCTTACAAATTGCAATTACAGCCTCATGAATAACTCTGAGAGAGATGATCTTTTTCTTTTTTTTTTTTTTTTTTAATATATGTTGGCATGTGTAAAGTTCTAATTAAGTTGAAGATTTTAATGCACAAGCTCCAGAAAATTTTGTAGAAATAGCTTATTTTACCATTAGTGTGTGGGATATATTTTCTGCTTCTAACTTGCTTGTAGAAATTTTATAGACCGCAAAATATTTTGTATTTTCTGACATTCAATAATAACCTAAAAAGACTAAAATACCCCTTCGTATTTAATTTACTCCAATTTCATCTCAAAATCTTAATTTAATCAATATTGTACATTACCCCAGTTTTAACAAATATTGCATATTAAACCTTATTTTTCACAATATTTAGAAAGAAAAAAAATTCCTGGATTTCTTTTCCCATATAATTGTCTTTTTATTTTTTACTTTCTTTTTTGTTTTTTTTTTCCCCAACATTAATGCACGATTAGAAATTCTCAGCGATATCGTATTGGTCTGCCATACCCCTCATTGGGGTGGTAAACGAGCCAAGCCGGCTCACAAACTCGACGAGTTGGCTCATCAAAGGCTCGAACTCGAGCTCATGTTTTTCTTTTTATTTAATTTTTAGATAAATTTCATGTCAATTTTTATTTAATTTTTCATATTTATCATTACAATGTAAACAATTATTATTAAAATTATACCATTTTAAATAAAATTTTAAAAATATTACTTATTTTTGCTCTCCCTTTTATGAAATACTATAAAACAAATTCAGGAACGATGCCCCTGAACCCCCAAAATATTAATCTCCCTAATGGAATTTCATGACGGGTATCGTGTTGTCACAATTTTCGAAATTTCAAGCAAATGGATGGTTTAAAAACAACATATGCTGGTAGCATAAAATCTTGCTAATTTTCTTAAGAAAATATTTTAAGACAAAAAGGTATTTCCGTATAAACCGAACTTTCTTCTGGCATCGCTGATCAACTTCACAGGATGATTTCGTCCTGTACGCTTAAATTGAGCATCTTATTTGGAAGAACTATGCTGTTAGTAACAACAACCTCATCTTCCACAATCACCGATTCACCTGAATCATACATGACGACAATTCAACATCAGTGTCAGTATAAATAAACTTTATTAAACAATTTATTTAGGATGTCGGGAATCGAGCATACCTAAGATAGTAATCCCAAGCTTTGCGTTATAGTCTCCGTCACCCTAAATCCGCAAAGCAAAAGATTTTAGACACATAACGGAAGGACACATATTTTGATTTAGACACGGGTTTCAAATACTTGACCTAAATAATTTCTACAACTCTACCTGGACTCGAGACCATCTCCCGATAGATGACTTCCATCCAACAATGGCATGTATAACAACAGCATTTTCCTGTAGAAGAGAAAATATTTAACACTAAATTTATTAGAATGATATTATTAACTTTTCTTCTTGGGCCAACGTACCTTGATTTCCACATCGTCTAACACGATGCAATTCATAAGTCTCACACCAGGAGCTATACGGACATTTGCTGATATCGAGACGTTCGGTCCAATCTATTCGTACATCAAGTAAAAAAAAATTAATATATGTGAATGGGACCCAAATTTTTTGATACAAAATGACCCCAAAAAAATATATTTGCATGACCAATAATTTGAATGATCAACCGAAAGTGAGACTTCAACAATAATTTTGCAGAGAATTTGTATTGTAAAAGCATGTAAAAAAATCGTCCAACACTTAACAGATTCTAAATTTTGACAAGAGAAAACATTAGACACGTGTTCAGTTGAATTACCTTTGACGTTGGATGTACTTTTGCTGATGGGTGAATATAGACGTCTCCAACAACTGTAGCAGTACTGTCGTCTCCACTAGCCAGAAGATGTGGAGACGTAATACGGAATTGAGCGAGATATAAAGCAGAACACTTGATAGATATTCTGAAAAGTTATAATTGAGTCGGTTAAGACAGATCAGATTTCCGGACACGAGAAAGAAGAGGATATACATTTAATTTATAAAAACAATAAATATACCCAGGGGTCTTGATCTGTTCCCAGAAATCCATTGTCTCGTATGTATACAATTTCTTTTTACCGGCAAGAGGTGACAAAATGTCTTGGTCCAATCTAACAAAATCTGTAGGAGACCTAAATGAAAGATCAATGCACCCTGTGATTAAAAATGAAGCTGGAAGTCCAACCTTAAAACACACTCGTTTAAGGTTATTTTTTGCATCGCTAATGTACACAAGACTTCAATGAGCAGCACCACTACATTCTGACAGCCGATATACCTTGTTGCAAATTGCTGGGATTCATAGCTAGATATGTGACGTATATCAGCTGTGATTGACAAAAACAGAATATAAATATCAATATTTGCAAATCGAGATTATCGATGTTATTTATTATCATCATCATATGTACTGAGTCAAGTCGGACAAGTTTATTCTTGCAGGGTTATTTATCATGGTATAATATCAGCACGAGAATAATATAAGCAGATGAATCAAACCAAACTGTCAGACAGAACTTAATGCAGGAAATATTATAAATGCATAAAACTAGAATATGCAGCATTCGTAACGAAGAGATATTAATATGCAGCATCACTAACCTCTGTCTTCCCTGAGCAAAAATACCTCCTGGATGATGCTAAAAATTTTTGGTGTAAAGATGTAAACGCCGCAGTTAATTAGATCACTCACCTGAAATTGTGATAACGACAAACGTAATAATGAGTCGAAGAAATAAAGAACCACTCAGCTTGTAAAACTAAGATACACGTGTTTGTTTACTTGTTATACGTACAAAAGTCTCGGGTTTCTCAGTGTAATGCAACAGTTCTTTGGTGACTGGATCAGCGACCAATTCACCAAACTGGTTGGCTGATTCAGCAGAAACCTGCATAAACATATTTACTGAGGTATTTGGCTTGGAAAAGTAATGTTATATAATGCAATATGCTAGTTTAAAAGAAGAGGAAACGGAAACATACTTTAATAACAAGCAATGTGCCTATCCCGCCGTACGTTTTATGGGCCTCTGAATAACAACACAAAGAACATTTATATAATTTTCCGAAAGGGGTTATGAAAAAAATAGAAATCACGGAAGGTAACTAGAGCCTCTCAGCTGAAATCTTAAAAAGTATATAAGAACAAAATCAGTCTCGATGAAGAAGAATTCGATGACTTACCTAGCATGTTAGACAGTGGAAAGCTGCAGCAGACATCAAAATTCAACAGAAAAATATGTGACTGCATGGGACCAAAAGTGTACACGTTTAATAAACTTATATATGATTACTTTTTGGTAAAAAAATGTCGTAAGAATTAGTTTGAAACGAGTAAGACGTACAGGGGAGTCCTCCATGATTTGATCTCTGAAGTAATAAAGACCACCTGCCGAACCATGTGGCTTATCTTCTTTCAAATATCTGAAATATGAAAATTTCCGCTATATAAAACGACAGCCAAATAGCACAAACCCTATGTATTACACAATTCAACAAATGTAGATCACGAAAAACTAAACAAAACAAAAAAAATAAAAAACTGCAAATGACCTGACGGGAATTTTGAGCTCGTTAGATATTGAAGAGACGTATAAGGCAAATTCCCGCTCCTCATAGAACCCGATCAGAAATATTTGAACCAGGTTCGGTATCTGCAGCAAATCACCAACTATCAATGCTAAAACAATATCCGAATCTACCAACAGAATGAAATAAATGCCTTGTAATATCAATACCCAAAAGGATGTCATAAAACAGAGCAACGTGTGTGTAAGAATTCGACCTCTAGTACAATTTTTTTTTTTCAAATTCTTAACCGATCAAATGAATTATAATAATGAGAAACAAATGAAATTAAATAAACAAAAAAGAAAAGTTAAAAATCGAACCTTTTTGCAAGAGGAGATCGGGTGATAAACCATGGATTGTCCGGCGAGAGGAAATAAAGGCTCTGGTGTATTAAACGAAAGCGGCCTAAATCGAGTGCCTGAACAGAAAAATGTGGATTACAATTAAAAAAAATTGAGCGAATTAAGGAATAATTGCTCTGTTAGAAAGAAATTAAGTAACTACGAACCTTTGGTCGGCCCGCCGACCAGGATCACGGCGACCACCTTCTCCTCCGTGTTCACCATTTTTTTCAGTTAACGGTTAAAAAGTAAAATCCTCTCTTAAACCCTAAATGCAATAATTTTGGGATTACATGTTTACATTTACGTAGTGAAACGGCCGTCGTCGTGAAACGGCGCCGCTTTACTTGTTCTCTAATATGTATAAATTAGGGTAAATTCGACTTTCTCGCCTTGTATTTTGGCTCGATATCAGTTTACCCTCTTCTACTCTTAATTGCATCGATTTGCCCCCTGTACTTGAAAAATTGTTTCAATGCGGCCCTCGCCCCGTCAGTTTTCAGACATTTGACATTAACACCATTCGATCTAATTCTGAAAATTACAAAAAAACCACCCCTCCCAATTTAAATAATTATTTAAAAAAAATCATGAATGCCGTCGTGTACTATGTTTTTTCGTTGTCTTGATTTTTTTTATACCTTTTTTTTTATATAATTATTTAAACTGGGAGGGGGTCGTGTTTTTGTAATTCCAGAGTTTAAACCGAACGGTATTAAGGCGAATGTCTAACAACTAACAACAAGGGTCACATTGATACAAAATTTCAAGTGCAGGAGGCAAAACGATACAATCGAGAATTGAGAAAAGTGGAATTTACCTTATGAATTAAGGGCAAATGGCAAAAAGGCCCATCACATGGGACTTAAATGCATTTTGGTCCACAAAAAAAACAGTCTTTCAATTAAGCCCATCCCCATGTCTTTAGTCTAAAATACCCTCAATAATATAATTCTTATCAATTCCACCCAATATGATCTAACTTCCTTAATATTACACATTGACCCCGGATTTAAACAAATATATCACATTAACCCCCAAAACTTTTTTTTTCAGAAAATAATTTTTTTTCTGAAATGTTTTTTTTTCGGCCAGATGCCGGCAAGATTCCGGCGTTGACCGCCGGTCTCCGACGTTGACTTTTTTTTTTTTTTTGAAATTTTTTTTTCCTGAATTTTTTTCCGGCCGGTCAACCACCGTTGACCGCCGGTCTCCGGCGTTGACTTTTTTTTTTTTTTTTTGAATTGTTTTTTCTTAGAAAAAAAATATTTTAATTAATATTACTGTCTTGACTACTAAATTACTGTCTCAGGCAGTAATATTACTGTTTGGGACAGTAATATTATGAATATTATTTTTCCGAACAGTAATATTATTAATATTATTGTCTAAGACAGTTAAATTACTGTTGGAGACAGTAATTTAACATCCAAGACAATAATATTAATTAAAATAAATTTTTTTTAAGGGAAAAAAAAAAAAAAAAAAAGTCAATTAACAGTTAAATTACTGTCTCCAACAGTTAAATAAGTGCTGGGGGCAGTAGTTTACGCATCGAGTACTAATATTAATTAAAAATATTTTTTTTAAGAATAAAAAAGTCAATTAACAGTTAAATTACTGTCTCCGACAGGTAAATAACTGCTGGAGACAGTAATTTAGCAACGAATACAGTAATATTAATTAAAAATATTTTTTTTAAGAATAAAAAGTCAATTAACAGTTAAATTACTGTCTCCGACAGTTAAATAACTGCTGGAGACAGTAATTTAGCAACGAATACAGTAATATTAATTAAAAATATTTTTTTTAAGAATAAAAAAGTCAATTTACAGTTAAATTACTGTCTCCGACAGTTAAATAACTGATGGAGACAGTAATTTAGCAACGAATACAGTAATATTAATTAAAATATTTTTGAAGAAAAAAAAAAACAGTCAATTAACAGTTAAATTACTGTCTCCGACAGTTAAATAGCTGCCGGAGACAGTAATTTAGCAGGCAAGACAGTAAAATTAATTAAAATATTTTTTTTAAGAAAAAAAAAAAAAAAAAAAGTCAACGCCGGAGACCCGGCGGTCAACGGCCGTTGACCGGCCGGAAAAAAATTTCAGGAAAACAAAATTCAAAAAAAAAAAAAAAAAAAAAAAGTCAACGCCGGAATCTGGCCGGAAAAAAAATATTTCAAAAAAAAAATTATTTTCAGAAAAAAAAAATTTGGGGGGTTAATGTGATATATTTGTTAAAATCCGGGGTCAATGTGTAATATTAAGGAAGTTAGGGCATAATTGGTGGAATTGATAAGAATTAGGGTTAAAATTGGGGTCAAAATTGAAATTAGGGTTAAAATTGGTTAATTGATGAAATTGGGCTAAATTGAGGTGTAAATCATGAAATTGGAGTTGAATTGGGTTTCAATGAATTAGGGGTAATTTTGGTATATATAAAAGGATTTTCCTTATTTGCAAATAAGTTTGAATGGGGTGAATTTATTTGGAAGACAAAAAAGTTGAATGTCCCTATTTTAATTAAGTGCCCTTGCCATGGGCTTTTTTGTGATTACCCCATGAATTAATACTATTAAATATTTGGGCGTTAATATATGCTCTCCTCCCGTATTTAATTGTCTAAAACCCATAATCTAAAATTGAGAATAAAAATAAATATGTTCATGAAAACAATCATATATTTAAGTGAAAAATAATATGGTCCAATTTCCTCACTTCAAAATCATATTAAAAGTTTAACTTCATTTTGCATCTTTTGAAATATACCCTTGCACTTACAAAAAAAAAATTAATATTATTTTGCAGTCCAAATCACAATAAATCATTCATAATAAATTTTGAGCTGAGTTGTTACGGTTGTGATAAAATCACTAATCCATTTTGAGTCATTGCAATAACTAATGGTGGAAAAAAAATTAAATACCACAAAATTACACAAAATTGATTATTAAGTCAAATGTTTGGCAACCCTATCAAATCCGCCCCTAGTGAGTAGTGATAATAATAATGGTACCGAAAGCATAAAAAAAATAAAAAAAGAAACTATAAAATTAATGTTAGTTTCATATGTTAATACAAGTACAATTTCAGTCATGTAACATAAGTTAAATCTCTATAAAGGTTACACATTTCACTATTCAACAGAATTCAAATTCAGTTTCTGCATAAATATAGATAATCTGTAGCAGCCTGTACAAGTAAAACATGTCGAATCGATGATCGATTTCGTCACACTATTTCTATGTATCAGAAGAGAAAACCTTACTCCCCGTAAAACCCGAGCTCTAAGATCTGAAATCATTGAAACAAGAAACTTCAATAAGTGTGTATATATATATATATATATATATATATATATATATATATATATATATATAAAATCATTTAAAATGGATATCGACCTTCTCAAATTTCATCGATTTTAAAATTATCGTACACAAACATCTCGGGATTATAGATATAATTAACATAATTCTCTTACGCATATATGCAAAGACCACCAATTCTTTTGCAGAAATAAAAGTAACGAGTGCGAACCAAATTCATAGCGAACAATACGAAAGTGAACTAACTATTCAAACTCACCATAACAATGTATTCGGAATGGCTTGTTAGAGAAGGTTAGAAAAAGATTCCCCTAGTTGACGTATTCGAGCTGCATTTCCAAATCCTTAATCCCAGCATCATGCAAAATGTGGGAAACCCGTTTTCTGACAGAAGCCTTATCGGTATCCGCCGATACATGAAGATGGATGGTCCCCACAATATCCGAGTTAGTGAAGCTCCACACACGCAGATTCTGAATACCGAAAATGCCCTTCACATTCATCACCTCGCTCACGGCTCCCTTGAGATCATGCTCGCAAGATCTCGGTACCCTCTGCAGCAAGATTTCTCCTGAATTTCTGAGCAATGGAATCACCGACGACACAATCAATGCGGAAATAAATATCGAGCAGGCGGGGTCCGCAATCAGCCAGCCCTTGTAGTCGATCAATAGGGTCGAAATAACCACCCCAACGCTTCCCAAAGTATCTGCCAGTACATGTAAGAAGATTCCTTGCATGTTGTGGTCCACATGTTGATGCTTCTTCTTATCCTTGTCAGCATGACCATGTCCATGGTCATGAGAGAGCGCATGGCCATGGGAATCGTCATGGGAATGGTTATGGGCATGGGAATGAGAATTGCAATGGGCATGGTCATGGGAATGGTTATGGGCATGGTCATGGCCATGGGAATGGTCATGGTCATGGGAATGGGAATTGGAATGGTCATGGGAATGGGAATTGGAATGGTCATGGGAATGGGAATGGGAATTGGAATTGGAATGGTCATGGGAATGGGAATGAGCATCCACATGAGTATGGGAATGGGAACACGATGAAGATCCACCATGGGCATGATGATGTTCCTCATGAAAGAAGATAAGCCCTACGATATTCACAGCCAGCCCACCGATCGAAACAGATAGCAAACTGGCGGTGGAAATTTCTTGAGGGTCTAAAATCCGCTCGAACGACTCGAGCGTGATTAACGCTCCGACAAGAACCAGAAAGACGGCATTGACATAACCCGAGAGAACCTCAAATCTGCCACGGCCATAGGTGAACTGGCTATTCGCAGGCAATCTCGAAATATACGAAGCGTACAAACCGATAGCAAGAGCTGCACAATCGAACAACATGTGACAAGCATCGGATATCAACCCGAGGCTGTTACTCATAAAACCAGCCGCAAATTCGACAACCATGTACGCGGTGTTTATCAATAAAAACAGGGCGATTTTGCGCGATTTCCTCTCGCTCAAAATGTGCCTAATGGGTTTCATCACAGCCGTACTAAACGGTTCGGACGATTCAAAACCCAATTCGGGGTAATTAATGTAAATAGGATTCAATTCCCGGACGGAAACCCACATCAGAAACCCACAAATCAGCAAACCCCACAGCGAAAGCTCAGGGAAATAGAACAATTCCAAAACAAGAGTGCACGCGAACGTCACGAAATACTCCCTCTGAATATCTTTCGAAGCAGCAAATTTGTCGTCGGTGTAATTTTCGCTCAAAAGAACACCGAAAACGACAGTGTTCGCCAAAGGCCAGCCGAGGCTCGACACGGATATACTATCGCCTTCTGCTTCGAACACAAACATACTAATCACAGCGGGTAATAAAAGCGCAACCGTGGTGAAAAATAAAGTGATCAATCGAACCCTTTTTTGCCCTAGCTCGCGAATTCCCCCCCAATTCGACAGAGCCCTTTCGTAACACCCCAAAAACCCGGACAAGAAAGGGAGCACCATTGGCCAAATTCTCAAACAGTTTGCACTAGGAAATGATAAAAAGCCTCTGCTCTTAATATTCACATGTGACAAAGGAAAGCATTCGATTCGATCCCAGCTAACAGACAACAAAATCAACCCGGAAAATAGAGCAATAAACCCACGCACCTTTGATGATCCAATCGGATTTCTACCAATAAAGTTCCGATTTTTACCGTCTCCCATATAACGGGCAGCCACATTTCCGGATAATTCGGCTAGAATCATCGCAGCCGTGCCGCAGTATCTTAAGGCCTGAAATCTCAGCAAGAATATAACGGCGAGGAGAAGTGATTTAGCGGCGAGGAGTTTGTGCTGGGATTGAGTGATTGAAGTGAGAGAAAAAATTGGGCGCTGCGATTTTTCGTAAGGAGAAACTTTACCGAAAATCGGCGAAAATAGAGAGAAGGAGAGGGTGAGAAGAAATGACAAGAGAGAGACGAGAAAGGAGAAAGGGAATATGGAGAAAGATGGAGGGGAAGCGCGTAGGAAGGGGAGGAGTGAGTAGAGCGAACGGAGGGAGAATAGGAGGAGCAGGAGGAAGGAGTAGGACGACGCGCCGCCGGCTGAGGCGGAGGATTTGGCTAAAGAAAATCGGTGTTTGGATGGGGTCGGTGTCGGGGTGGAAGGGTACGGGAAGAGGGGGTATGTGCGTGGAGTAGGGGTTGCGGCGGTGGGTACGGCGGAGCGAGGCGGGAGGGTTATACGATTTGGGCGGTGGTGGTGGTGGTGGTGATCTTCCATAGTCGCCGGAATAAGTGTTCAGTGGAGAGAGGTTCGATTTACAAGACTGAAGACTTTGATTCAGGCTTCAGCCTTATTGGTTGAAGTCTCCGCTTCAGAATTCATTTTCCAATTTATTTAGTTATTAATTAATTAATAATAATAAAATTGGGAATTATAATTTACAGAGATGATTTAATATTTAATATTTATCCAATAAAAAAAATATTTACAGTAAATGGGCCAACAATCGGGTCTTTCACTTCAATAAGTCCTCCCTATTCGGGTTTGGGTAGCCCACTTCTTACTGGGCCGAGATTTTGAAAAAGTTAAACAAGCATATTTTTTATGGGTAAATTACACATACACCCCTGATGTATGCTAAAATAACTTTCAGGTCCCTGTAATCTTGGTAATTACAGCCACTACCCTGAAAACAATTATTGTAGCCAAAATCAATATGCTCTATATTTGTTCCCCGCTGGAGCCGTTAATGCTACCGTAGACGAAAATTTTATAAATCTTATATAAAATAATAATGATTTAATAAATGTTACGAGAGTCATGTCAGCCTCTAGCTCTATGTATGATGTCTCCGCCACTGTCTGAAACTAATAGTCTGTTATTAGAATCATAACGGAATAACTTATCTGATGCATTATTCCGTTAGAATATCTATCAATATTTCAGGGGTTGATTGTAATTATCGATACGCATTCCAGCACTGCATGTGTGCATTAATGGATTGGATACATATGCAGTTTTTTCAAACATGTTTAATTTTGTATCTCACTATTATAGAGATAATGGTTGTAGTACTATAGTCCATATATGGTAAAAGAAAAAAAAAAACAGACCAATAATTGTACATCCAATCCAGAAAAAGGCACAGCATATTAATATTAATCCTATTCATCCAACAATAATATATATCCATGATCATATAGGAAACATGACTAATCAAATTATTAATTCATTTACATTTTCTTTCTTTCTCTAGCTAACAGCGATGCATGCATTAACTATATATGAATATGAACCAGTTGATCATATCAATAATTAATGGAGCCGGGTCAAAAAACACAAGCTATGGTAATGGAATTAGTGATTTCCATGTCACAAACCACCAATAAATAGTTATAAACACATTCGATTAATAATCGCAACTTTAACGTGGAAAGCAAATGTACGTATATATGCTAAGATGGATTACATACGAAGAACGAACGCAAAAGTTAGCTTCGATTCATCGCTTTGGCTATTTTAAGCTATCACTATTTTGCATATATTTTATTATATGACGACACTATATAATTAAGATCGATTGATTTTCTTTTGGGAATTGAAAATATTTATAATTAACATGTATTTCGTTTTAAGATTGGTCTAATTAATTGATTTGTTTAACATTATGTTGGCATTGTCTCGAGGTCTCTCTCCCTCTTTGCTTTTTCCTCTTTTTGATGGCAAGTGCGCTATGTTTTCATCTTTATATATCTTTACCCAAAGAAGAAAAAAGAAGTCATCGGTCAATTAATTGTTATATAATTGATTTTCAGGAGTCGAAATTGGAATCGAATTTTTGAATTTCGTTGATTTTGATCCGTAAATTTCTGATTTTGGAACAATATAATGTTTTTCATTATGAACTCTGAAAAATCCGATCTCTGTGAAGAAAAAATTCCTCTATTTTTTTGGAACAATATATATATATGAAATTCCGATTTTTATGATACGAAAGTAATAATGTCGATCTGAATCTGATACGTCATATCATAATACCATGTAACTAGAATTGAGGTATAGTTCATGAATAGAAATAGTAAATACATCGTACGACCAATTGCTCGATTAATGCAATAATTTTTACAATATATCGATGTACACGCACGAACATGAGATTGGTGACGTAATTAGTGAGTTGGTATTAAAATTAGTTAGTTGATGTGTTTAGCAAGTAATGCATACTTAGGTGGTGTCTGCAAAAACTTTTAGACACAACTTCTAAGCTTTTATCACAGTATAATTCGGTTTTAGGTGCTTGCAAAATCAGCGTTTACTTTAACTTCTCTTAAAACAAATGTAAGACGGATGTACAAGATACCGATGACGTAATGAGTGAGTTGGCATTATAATCAGTTAGTTACGTATATGTGTTTTGCGAGTAATGCATACTTTAGGTGGTGTTTGCAAAAACTTTTAGACACAACTTCTAAACTTTTCTCGTAGCTCATAATCCAGTTTTAGGTGCTTGTAAAATCAGCTTTTACTTTAACTTCTCTTAAAATAAATTTACGACGGATGTACACGATACCGTACCGGTGACGTAATTAGTGAGTTGACATTATAAATTAGTTGATGAATAGAAATAGTCAATACATCATATGACCAATTGCTCGATCAATGCAAGAATTTTACGATATATCGATGTACTTGTACACACACAAACATGGTATTGATGACGTAATTAGTGAGTTGGCATTATAAGTAATTAGTTGACGTGTTTTGCGAGTAATGCATACTTAGGTGGTTGTCTGTAAAAACTAATTAGTGAATTGGCATTATAAATTAGTCGACGTGTTTTGCGAGCAATGCATACTTAGGTGGTTGTCTTCTAACCTTTTCTCACAACTCATAATCCAGTTTTAGATGCGTGCAAAATCAAATTTTACTTTCACTTCTCTTGAAACAAATTTTACGATGAATGTACACGATACCGATGACGTAATTAGTGAGTTGGCATTATAAATTAGTTGGTGTAGTTAAGGAACACATGCATTTTACGAGTAATGCATACTTAGCCACGCGATGAGCATGAGTAGCCACAAGCATCACTCACTCCGATCCCACTCGGCAATCAATTTTAATGGAATATACACTCGGCACATTATTTATGCAATAAAATCTAATATATATTTATATATATATGTAAGTATAGAATTATTTAGTTATTTTCTTTTTTTAAATCATGATTTACCAATTGTAGCTGATCTATGTTGAATAATGAATACATAAATAATAATTGAATATATATATATGGAAAAGAAATCCCTTTACAATTGAATTTGATTGCACCAAATCCCTAATTATATATGATACTCCTTTTACTACCAATAGTTACCAAACGTACAAGAAAAATTCATCAACAATTGGTTAATTTCATTCTATATATATATAGTGAGCAAACTAATATTACGTAATTAAAAAATAAAAAAAGAATAATATTTATGACGTGTCATAGTGACGCATGTCAACATTATGACGGTGTCTGTGCATCCTCATCAACTTATATAAGTGTGCCGATCCGATTTTTATTTTAGTGTAACGATAGAAAATTAAATATATATATATATATATATATATATATATATATGAAAAATAAGAAAATTCATATATTATTTTCTTGCATGTAAAACAGTGTCTATATCTTGGCCACCTTGCAGTTGTCAGCTTAAGCCCAATAGAAGTGTCTTTTTTTAATTTTTTTTTTTTTGAATTAATTAATTTAAAAAAATGAAAGGGATTTATTTATTTAGTGTGTGTCGAGTGTTCCATTAATTCTCCAAAAAAGCAAAAAAAAAATATATATATATATTGTTGGGATTAAAACGGAAATTAAATTGCAGTGGTGGACAAAAGGAAGTGTGTTGCCATTGTTTTCTTTTTAATTTCTTGTGTTTTTTTTTTGTCTTCCGAAAATTTAATTTATATGATCCCACATCGCTATAAAAACCTAACTATGAATTAGGAATATATTCTTCTTTTAATTCGTCATTCAATTTTGGCCACATCGATCGAACCCTTGTTTTTTATTTTTATTTTTTTCATTAATCGTAATTTTAATTTTCTGTCAATCGATGGGACTCAATAAACCATGTTTTCTTCTAACAGGTAATTACGAGAATATTTAATTTCTATTTTGAATTTCTTCCGTGATTTTGTACTGTAAAAAAAAAATCATGATTTTTTTTTTGGTTTTATTGGCTAACAGTTATAGCTGGGATGGAGAGATTTGCATTCAAAGGGGTGGCGTCAAATTTGGTGACGTATTTAACGGACGTTATGTACATGAGCAATTCGTCGGCGGCGAAATTCGTGAATACCTGGGTTGGATTCACGTCGATGTTGCCGTTGATAGTAGCGACGTTAGCCGACTCTTACTGGGACCGTTACACCACAATTCTCGCCTCTTCTGTGCTCTACGCTGCGGTTCGTACTTTAACAACTAGTCACGCTATTTTCATTTTGCATTTATTATTTATTTTTTCTTTTCTCTCTCTAGTTTTCATTTAAATTCAAGAAAAAAAAAAAAAAAAACATGTTTTGAGTGGAAATCTACATGCAGAACAATATTATCATGAGAAATGGATCCCATGTCACTATCCCACTTATCTGTACTATGTATATATGAATGTAATATTATGATGTTGACATATTATTTTTTTTTTTTAACATTTTACTATGTATTAATTTAATCATAATTATTTAATTGATTCACGGTTTCAATTAAAATTGTTGTGCATCAATTAATTAGGGGCTGTTAGCATTGACATCGACGGCGGTGAAATGGCCATGGAATCCGACGGCCAAAAAACATTCGATTTTGTCTCTATCGTGGTCGTTATATATGATTTCACTCGGACAAGGGGGCTATAACCCCTCCTTACAAGCCTTTGGTGCCGACCAGCTCGAAAACGAAGAAGAATTGCCTCGCACTAATAATAATAATAATACGGAAGAACCGAAAAAAGACAAGAAAAGCTTGTTTTTCCAATGGTGGTACTTTGGGATATGTTGCGGTAGCCTCATGGGTGTTTCGGTCATGTCGTATATACAAGACACTTTTGGTTGGGGACTCGGATTCGCTATTCCCACGTTTTCCATGATTGCGTCGATTCTAATGTTTTTGTGTGGAAACCGGTTTTATAAGCACAAGCATAAAAGGAACGAAGATGGCAATTTTTTCGAGGATATTGTCCGGTCAATCAAATCGACCGTTTCTAAATTGGTCAACGGTCGGAACAATGGCATTGAGTACACGAAGGTTGAATTAGAGTAAGTCTTTCCTTTTCTTTTTTTCTCGATATTGCATTGTTTCGATTCAGTTATTTTTATGAGTTTATTGCATTCAGTACCCATGTGTTATATCGAATTGGAAAAAAAATTCCCCGTGTTGTCCGTATTAGCAAAAAATAAGATGGGGTTTTTTTTATGCAATAAACCGTATTGTGATCTAAAAATAAATTGATATTGATATAATATATTGATTGTGTAGACTTCAGGAGAAAGACCTATGTAACAATCAAGACGAAGTTATTCAACAAGAAGAAGAGAGAGTAAATCCTCTTAGAGATGCCAAGATAATTCTTCGTCTATTGCCCGTTTGGATAATGCTACTAATGTTTGCGGTGATTTTCCAATTGCCGGTGACTTTTTTCACCAAACAAGGCATGGCAATGAAGCGAAACATTGGTAATTTCAAATTCGAAATTCCGCCAGCCGCCCTTCAAAGCTCGATCACCGTCTCGATAATAGTGCTAATGCCTTGGTACGACACGTTCTTCGTACCGTTGGTGCGTATTTTCACGCGCAACGAAAAGGGGATCTCCGTTATGCAGAGGATGGGGATAGGTATGTTTTTGTCCGTAGTCGCAATGATAATCGCAGCTATCACGGAGCGGAAACGAATGGAGATTGGTAAAAATAACGGAGAACAATTGTTGAGCATATATTGGTTGCTTCCTCAATATATATTGTTGGGTATTTCGGACATATTTACCGTTGTGGGAATGCAGGAGTATTTTTACTCCGAAGTGCCGGTCCGTATGAGGACAATGGGAATTGCGCTTTATACGAGTATTTTTGGAGTTGGGAGTTTCTTAAGCGCGCTTCTTATTTCCGTGATCGAGTTTTTGACGACTTCTAAAGAAACGCACGACAATTGGTTTTCGGACGATATGAGTAAAGCTCGGTTGGACAAGTACTATTGGTTCTTGGCCTTCACTAGTGCAATAAGCTTGCTTGCTTTTGTTATTTTTTGTAGGTTTTTTAGAGAGAGAAAATAAAACATTATGGTTAGTTAATTAATTAGAGTTTTTGCTTAGTGTAAATAATCAGTTGCTTCGAACTTTAATTTGATGTTTTGGTTAGTTCAAATGATTGCTCAATGTTCATGCTTATTTGGACCGGGTTACATATTACTTTTATTTAGAGTTTCAAGATTTAATTATCTCTTTTAATACAAGTTTGGCTTTTATCATTGATGAATATTATGACTTGATACCTTTTTGTTAGTATTTATGAAGGTACTTCTGAATTTTTCTATTAAAAGGAATGTTGATTATGATTTTTTTTAACTTAATATAGTTTAAACAAAATTTAGATAATGGAGGGAGTATAAATATCGTGATAAATTAATCTTTTGCTTATAATATCACAAGATATGGATGTAAAGTGCATTTTAAGGGTCCAATTTGCAAATTTCAAAATTTAAGGGTGGAGAATGGCAATCTACATTATTTTAGGGTGCAAATCGCAATTCACCCGTTATTTTTTCGGTGTGCTGTTGGGTTATTGTAAAGCCCATTGGGCTTTAAAACGTGCTTTTAATTTATATACATTTTCTTGGGTTTGTTTTCAGCCCAATTTAGATGGGCTTACGCAGATTCAATAGTCTTGGATTTTTTTTTTATTTTTTTTTTAATTTTAATTTTATTTTATTTTTTGAACATATAAAGTCTTGGTTTATAAAAAATATTGTTTATTTTTTGTAATTTCTATTTTTTATAAACAATATTTAGACTTTGATGACGTTTAGCAATAAAAAATAAAGTAGAGCAAAATAGAAATTGTAGTATATTCATGGTTGTATACTTATATCCACTATGACTAATGTTTATATAATAAATTTTGACAATATAAAGAATTGTGGTTAACTTAAATATAAATAAATGTAGGACGTCACACAATCTCACTTATATTATTTTTAAAAACCAAACAGCCCACCAAAATAATTGGAGTTAGGGGTTTTATCTTTTATAGTATCACATCTCTCACACGTATGTTTAATAGCATTTTGCACCCTCGAAACACAGTATATCATGAATAATGCACTCTACATGAGTTTTTAAAGCTAATAAATACTTTACTGGCATTTAAAAATTATAATTTTTTTATCACAAAAAAATATTATATAAATCCTTCAGCTATTTCGTTATCAAGTTATCTGAAAAATCATATTTTCTTCCAAAATTTCCACCAATTGCAATAAAAGATCTATCAATCGAATAATTTAGTGATAAAAGTTTATTTGATTTTATTTTGTAAGATTTGTTTTTCAATTTGTCATTTTGCGCCCCGAAGAAAAAACAAATAAAAAAATGAATTATCTTTTATTATTTAATTAAGGGTGCATTATGAATAATTTATTGTGTTTTGAGGATGTGAAGTGTTATTATTGGTTTTCAAGGGTGCAAAATGCCAAAAAGCTCCATTTTAAGGGTGCAAGGTGGGATTAAACCTTTTAAAATTCGATTCATTTATTAAAAAAAAAAATTGAATATTTTTGTAACAATTTTTATGTATTTTTTCCGGTGGAAATTTCATAACAAAATTGAAAATTCATTATTTTTTTACTTAAATTATACGCTTAACTAATTACCATTATAAAACTAGGATGATTGGATTCAAAATAAATGTGCACAAATGAGTAATATCATTAAATTCAAAATAAGTAGTCGTAATAGAATCCGATTTTCTTCTCTAATCATCCTTATGATTCCAAACGTGACATATTTAGATTATAGAAACAAGTGTGATTTTATGTTATCGTGTTACATTTACTTTTACTAATTCTATATGAATATTTCAGCCCTGACTTTGGTCAACTACCTCGATTAATCAGTCAACCAAGCAGACTTGATATGGTTAACATTTAACAATATCATCCAAATCTCATTTTAATCTGATTTTGATTTTGTTCACTTTACATTTCAAGCAGATTTTACATAATTATATATATACATATTATGAATATATACAAGTGTAATATTTGAATATATACATCTATAAAGTTGTTCAAGAATTACATAATTTTTCGTAGTCTGCCGTAACAAATAGTGATTAATTTTACTAATTAGGAGGATGTATACGAGAACGATTTCGACGGTTGTTTTAATTTTTTTGATAAGTGGTTTCAATTATCAAGTGAAAGGAGACGATGATTATGCGGGGTTGTCGTTTGGATTTTATAACAAAACGTGCCCACAACTCGAGAAAATCGTCGAAGATGCAATATCTTCGATGTCGAAACAAGACCCTCGAACACCTGCTGCACTGTTGAGGCTCTTGTTTAATGATTGTAAAGTTAAGGTAATCAAAGAATAAACCGTGTTTTTTTGTTTGGCCGATTCGAAGTAAAATATAATATAAGAAGTCGTTGTCATTCTCTAATTTGCTCGATAAATGTTTATTTTTTATAGGGTTGTGATGCTTCAATCCTTCTGGATGTTTACGAGAGAAGCAAATCGGAGATGGGGTCATTTAGTAATTTCGGAATCAAGAAAAGGGAGTTGATAGGGCAAATAAAATCGATGGTGGATAAAATTTGTCCGAACCAAGTTTCGTGTGCAGATATTTTAGTGCTGGCAGCTCGAGAAGCTGTGGCGGTTTCTCAAGGGCCGAAAATCCGGGTCCCACTTGGTCGCCGAGATTCATCCGTTGCGTACACTAATTACGATGCAGATTTTGACCTCCCTCCGGTCGATACGTTCATCAGAAAATCGTTGGGGTTTTTAGAAAACTTGAATGTGGGATTGACTATCGAAGAACAAATTGCACTCTTAGGTAATTAATTATTTGTATTGCTTGAATTAGAAGTTTAATTAATCGTTTAAAAAAAATGTATCTAATTTCTTTTATTTTTTATTTTTTTTTGGCTTGTAGGTGCTCATACTCTTGGAACTTCTCATTGTGCTACTATACAATATCGTTTCGACGCTCCGTGGATTATAAATACGGACAAAGAATTCTATAAGAAATTGCAAAAGATTTGTCCGAAAGGAGCAGCATCTAATTTTAATACATCGTTACCTAACGATCGCACACCGTACGTATTCGACGCAGATATATATGTGGAATCATTACGTGGGAGGGGGCTATTAGTGACCGATGTAGATCTATCGGATGATGCTCTCACCGCTGAGATCGCCCCGAAATTTATTTTCGACAAAGATTATTTTTTCAAGACATTTTCATCTGCTTTTGTTAAACTTTCAACCGCAGACGTTTTAACGGGAAACGATGGCGAAATCCGAAGACAGTGTGATAAGTTGAATGGAGTTTAAATATCGATATAGATATTCTCAAAAAAAAAAAAATCATTTTCTTTATTTATGTGGTCTTTTGCATTTTAAATAATAATAATAAAAATTAATAAGAGCATTGCTGCAACATAGCTGAGTATATTATTGAATTCAAAATAAGTAGTCATAACTGTCGAGAGCATTGAGTACACGAAGGTTGAATTAGAGTAAGTCTTTCCTTTTCTTTTTTTCTCGATATTGCATTGTTTCGATTCAGTTATTTTTATGAGTTTATTGCATTCAGTACCCATGTGTTATATCGAATTGGAAAAAAAATTCCCCGTGTTGTCCGTATTAGCAAAAAATAAGATGGAGTTTTTTTTATGCAATAAACCGTATTGTGATCTAAAAATAAATTGATATTGATATAATATATTGATTGTGTAGACTTCAGGAGAAAGCCCTATGTAACAATCAAGACGAAGTTATTCAACACGAAGAAGAGAGAGTAAATCCTCTTAGAGATGCGAAGATAATTCTTCGTCTATTGCCCGTTTGGATAATGCTACTAATGTTTGCGGTGATTTTCCAATTGCCGGTGACTTTTTTCACCAAACAAGGCATGGCAATGAAGCGAAACATTGGTAATTTCAAATTCGAAATTCCGCCAGCCGCCCTTCAAAGCTCGATCACCGTCTCGATAATAGTGTTAATGCCTTGGTACGACACGTTCTTCGTACCGTTGGTGCGTATTTTCACGCGCAACGAAAAGGGGATCTCCGTTATGCAGAGGATGGGGATAGGGATGTTTTTGTCCGTAATCGCAATGATAATCGCAGCGATCACGGAGCAGAAACGAATGGAGATTGGTAAAAATAACGGACAAGAATTGTTGAGCATATATTGGTTGCTTCCTCAATATATATTGTTGGGTATTTCGGACATATTTACCGTCGTGGGAATGCAGGAGTATTTTTACTCCGAAGTGCCGGTCCGTATGAGGACAATGGGAATTGCGCTTTATACGAGTATCTTTGGAGTTGGGAGTTTCTTGAGCGCGCTTCTTATTTCCGTGATCGAGTGTTTGACGACTTCTAAAGAAACGTACGACAATTGGTTTTCGGACGATATGAGTAAAGCTCGGTTGGACAAGTACTATTGGTTCTTGGCCTTCACTAGTGCAATAAGCTTGCTTGCTTTTGTTATTTTTTGTAGGTTTTTTAGAGAGAGAAAATAAAACATTATGGTTAGTTAATTAATTAGAAGCCTTGGTTAGTGTAAATAATCAGTTGCTTCCAACTTTAATTTGATGTGTTGGTTAGTTCAAATGATTGCTCAATGTTCATGCTTATTTGGACCGGGTTACATATTACTTGTTTTTAGAGTTTCAAGATTTAATTCTCTCTTTTAATACAAGTTTGGCTTTTTATCATTAATGTGAATATAAAATATGATTTGAGACCTTTTTGTTAATATTTATGAAGGTAATTCTGAATTTTTCTATTGAAAGGAATGTTGTTTATTATGATTTTTTTAATTTAATATAGTTTTGATGTGGTACAATTCCACGTCACGTTTTGCAATTCTTCTCTCGCACTTCTTGATTCGTCGCGTGGGCACTACCTGAATCACAAAAAGTCGTTAGGGCGCCGGGATTGGTCCCGACGAAAACCCTCCAACGCTCAAGTCAGCTTTGTATGATAGTAGTATTCAGAGAATTCAAGAGACCCTCCAACACTTAAGTCAGCTTTGTATGATAGAAATATTCAGAGAATTCAAGAGACTGCTCGGGAAATATGAATTGAGTCCCTTTAATTGTGAGATTTCCGGGTATTTATATGGAGATATATATTCTCATGGCTAAGCCACTTAATATGGGTCAACTTGGGCCTAACTGTTTAGATCATGCCAGTTTCGGCCTTAGCCGCTTGGGCTTGTACTATTATCTTTAGTCGATTTGAGTTTGGTTTGTGTACCTCTATGGGCTTGTAGATATGGGCCCATCAAGTTTAAACAAAATTTAGAAAATGGAGGGAGTATATATATATATATCGTGATAAGTTAATCTTTTGCTTATAATATCACAAGATATGGATGTAAAGTGCATTTTAAGTGTCCAATTTGCAAATTTCAAAATTGAAGGGTGGAGAATGGCAATCTACGTTATTTTAGGGTGCAAATCGCAATTCAACCGTTATTTTTTCGGTGTGCTGTTGGGTTACTGTAAAGCCCATTGGGCTTTAAAACGTGCTTATAGAATATCATAACTCTCACATGTATGTTTAAAATTGGTTTAATTCCATTTTGCACCCTCGAAATATACCATTAATATTTCGCACCCTCAAAACAAATTAATAGCACTTTGCACCCTCGAAACACAGCACATCATGCATAATGCACTCCACATGAGTTTTTAAAGCTGATAAATACTTTACTGGCATTTAAAATTTATATTTTTTATCACAAAAATGTATTTTATAAATCCTTCAGCTATTTCGTTTTATCTGAAAATCATATTTTCTTCAAAATACTTTACAAAAAAAGATCTATCAATCGAATAATTTAGTGATAAAAGTTTATTTGATTTTATTTTGTAAGATTTGTTTTTCAATTATCTAGTGTGATTTTTATTTTTCTATGTGCGCTCGAAATTAGGTGGAGGTTGCAGAAGATAACAATTCAATTTGTCATTTTGCACCCAGAAGAAAAAACCAATAAAAAATGAATTATCCTTTATTATATCATTAAAGGTGCATTATGAATGATTTATTATGATTTGAGCATGTGAAGTGTTATTATTGGTTTTCAAGGGTGCAAAGTGCATGCAAAGTGGGATTAAGCCTTTAAAATTCGTCACAAAAAATAAATTGAATATTTTTGTAGCATTTTTTATTTATTTTTTCCGGTAGACATTCATAACAAAATTCATTATTTTTTTACTTAAATTATACGCTTAACTGATTACCATTATAAAACTAGGATGATTGTGTTGAATGACAATCTCAATCAAAAGCTTAAGCTATTAGTAAAATGTACAATTTAATATTAATATCTTCAATACGCCCCCTCAAGTGCAGACGAATTACATTTGAAGCCTTGCACTTGGAATATGGGTGGCTGTGGGATTCCCTTTGATTTCGCCTGGCTCTGATACCATGTTGAATGAACATCTCAACTAAAAGCTTAAGCTATTAGTGAAATGTACCATTTAATATTAATATCTCCAATAGATTGATTCAAAATAAATGTACACAAATGAGTAATATCGTTAAATTCAAAATAAATAGTCATAATAGAATCCGATTTTCTTCTCTAATCATCCTTATGATTCCAAACGTGACATATTTAGATTATAGAAACAAGTGTGATTTTATGTTATCGTGTTACATTTACTTTTATTAATTCTATATGAATGTTTCAGACTTTCAGTCCTGATTTTGGTCAACTACCTCGATTAATCAGTCAACCAAGCAGACTTGATATGGTTAACATTTAACAATATCATCCAAATCTCATTTTAATCTGATTTTGATTTTGTTCACTTTACATTTCAAGCAGATTTTACATAATTATATATACATATTATGAATACATACAAGTGTAATATTTGAATATATACATCTATAAAGTTGTTCAAGAATTACATAATTTTTCGTAGTCTGCCGTAGCAAATAGTGATTAATTTTACTAATTAGGAGGATGTAAACGAGAACGATTTCGACGGTTGTTTTAATTTTTTTGATAAGTGGTTTCAATTATCAAGTGAAAGGAGACGATGATTATGCGGGATTGTCGTTTGGATTTTATAACAAAACGTGCCCACAACTCGAGAAAATCGTCGAAGATGCAATATCTTCGATGTCGAAACAAGACCCTCGAACACCTGCTGCATTATTGAGGCTCTTGTTTAATGACTGTAAAGTTATGGTAATCAACGAATAAACCGTGTTTTTTTTTTTTGGCCGATTCGAAGTAAAATATAATATAAGAAGTCATTGTCATTCTCTAAGTTTGCTCGATAAATGTTATTTTTTTATAGGGTTGTGATGCTTCGATCCTTCTGGATGTTTACGAGAGAAGCAAATCGGAAATGGGGTCATTTAGTAATTTCGGAATCAAGAAAAGGGAGTTGATAGGGCAAATAAAATCGATGGTGGATAAAGTTTGTCCGAACCAAGTTTCGTGTGCAGATATTTTAGTGCTGGCAGCTCGAGAAGCTGTGGCGGTTTCTCAAGGGCCGAAAATTCGGGTCCCACTTGGTCGCCGAGATTCATCCGTTGCGTACACTAATTACGATGCAGATTTTAACCTCCCTCCGGCCGATACGTTCATCAGAAAATCGTTGGGGTTTTTAGAAAACTTGAATGTGGGATTGACCATCGAAGAACAAATTGCACTCTTAGGTAATTAATTATTTATATTGCTTGAATTAGAAGTTTAATTAATCGTTTAAAAAAATGTATCTAATTTCTTTTAATTTTTTTTTTTTTGGCTTGTAGGTGCTCATACTCTTGGAACTTCTCATTGTGCCACTATACAATATCGTTTCGACGCTCCGTGGATTATAAATACGGACAAAGAATTCTATGAGAAATTGCAAAAGATTTGTCCGAAAGGAGCAGCATCTAATTTTAATACATCGTTACCTAACGATCGCACACCGTACGTATTCGACGCAGATATATATGTGGAATCATTACGTGGGAGGGCGCTATTAGTGACCGATGTAGATCTATCGGATGATGCTCTCACTGCTGAAATCGCCCCGAAATTTATTTTCAACAAAGATTTGTTTTTCAAGACATTTTCATCTGCATTTGTTAAACTTTCAACCGCAGACGTTTTAACGGGAAACGATGGCGAAATCCGAAGACAGTGTGATAAGTTGAATGGAATTTAAATATCGATATAGATATTCTAAAAAAAAATCATTTTCTTTATTTGTGCGGCCTTTTGCATTTTAAATAATAATAATAAATAAAACTTACTCATGTTTCTCTGTGTAATCTATTTTGAAGCACACTGCACCCATTGGCACCCATTGGCGTTTTACTAATTGACCAAAGGGTAAAAGGACAAAAAAGCCCGGGAGTTTTTTTGCTATTAGAAAAATAATATTTTTAACAAATAAAATAGAACATAAAATATATGTTAATATAATAATAATTAAAAAAGAAGATAAAAGATAGAAGGAAAACGAAAAAAGAAAATTTAAACAAATATATTTATTAAATGCAATAAATATATGTTAATAATTAAAAAAAAAATACAAAAATAAAACATATCTTAAATATAATAATAGTTATATAAAATAAAATAAAAACTCTTCATCTTCTTCCCTGCGACCGCCGGCGTCCTCCACCCGCACCCCCCTTTCTCCATCCCCTACCCACCCCAACCTACTCACAACTCAATTCATCCACCATTCAACCCAAGTCGAAGCGTTCCACCGCTGTTCATCACCCCAACGCCACCACATCTTCATATCTTCTTTCAATTGAGGCATTCCGCGGCGGAGGTGTGCGGCTGGTGGTCGATGAGATCGAACGGAGAAAATGAGTTTTCTTCATCTTCGTGCGGCGGCTGCAATGGCGGTCATCCTCCATGATTGATCAAAATCCACAGAGAATTGAGAATTGAAGATGAAGACGATTTGTTCTGAGGATGCTAGATGCTTTGACTTTGTTTACACAGGGAGATATGGGTCAGTTTTTTTTTCCACAAGGGGTATTTGCCAATTCACGATTTCGCATGGGTGGTATTTGTAATTACCTCTTTGAAATAATTTATAATACTGCTACACTAATTTTGGGCTGAATTAGTGGAATTGATAAGTAACAATACTGATTTTGGGCTCAAAAAATGGAATTGATAAGTAATAACACTGATTTTGGGCTGAAATAATGGAATTGGAATTGATAAATAATAACACTGATTTTGGGCTGAAATAATGGAATTGATAATACATAAATGAACACATACGTATTGAGTGTAGTCGACTATTCTAAGCAATTGAACCAATACAAATTTTCTTATTAAAAAAAAGAAAAAAGAAAAAAGGAAACCAGTACAAATTTCAATGTGAGCCTTAGATAATTAAAAAAAAAAAACTGTTATATATATTGTTTTACATACCCAAAAAAAAAAAAAAAAAAAAAAAAATTCATTATGCTACTTTGAGATAGTCCCTCACGCTGAGCTTCTTTGGGCTATCTTTGTAAGAATTTATTAAAAAAATTCCTTTGATCTTCAGTTTGTAAAGCTGGAAATTCCCTGCTGGAGGAAGATCTACAAAAACAAACAAACAAAAAAAAATATTAGTTAAAAGAAAAAAAATAATAATAAATAAATAAATAAATAACTTACTTGAGAAACGGGGGTGGCGATTGAGTAGTGCCGCTCGGGCAAACTCGGCCTCCCTGGACTGGGGGTCGAGTTTGACAAGGTTACCCGACAGGGTAACCTTGGAGCAGAGTGGCTCCTGGGGGTCCAGTCCTGGGCACCCATCCACCGCGTACTGGCTGACTGCCAGTGACGCCCTCGAGTCCGCTGCCGTAAAGTTGGCAGTCGCCTCGTCGAGTGTCGTCAAGTAAAAAAACGGGACTCCTTTCCCTCCGTCACTGTACGAAAGTACATTGCCGAAGGGAGAGTTCCCGTTTAGATAGTCCAAGCTACTGAAAAACCAAAAAAAAATTAATTAATTAATTGTTTACTTAAAAAAAAATAAAAAATAAAATAAAAAATAATAATAATAATATGGAATTGATACCTGACAATACCCCAAATGCCGTCGCTAACTAGCTTCCTAGCGGAAGCGTAGTCCTCGGCAGTGGGGGCGGCGGCGGCGGCGGCGGGGGCGGGTTGGTGTGCAGTAAATAGCATGAACATTGTTATAAAAATAATAACTAGAGCCATTTTTTTTTTCTTCTCCCAATCGCTTCTTCTTTTTCTTATTGTTTTCTTCTCTCAATCTCTTCTTCTTTTTCTTATTGTTTTCGTTATTCGAAGTTATTCGAAGTTTATATAGCATCGATTAATCTCTATCAACTTCTTAATAATTACGTTTGGTCATCTTTACCTGTCAATTAGTACTCATTTTAGGCCACTGTGATTTATTAATTATCATTTGAATCACTTGAATGTGATTTTTTCCTCCTTTGTATTACACCGGTGAATTATTATTATGATGATTATTATTATTATTATTAACTATTGTACAACAAGACAAATTCCTTTAATAATATTTCCGAATATATATAAATGCTATTTGTGTTTGAATTAACAAGTCTAAAATAACCTATATTTTAACAGCAATAAATACACTTAGGCTACATTAATTTTCGGACCACATAATTCTTAATTGGGCTCGCCATATCCCATGCTAATTGGATATTGGATCCTTTAAAGTTGGGCTCAATCGACCCGTTTTTTTTATTATTATTATTTTAATATCAATCAAGTATGTAATATTTTTTTGATTGTATAAAATCGTAACAATGTACATTAATACCCTTCAATAGTAAGAATGTACATTAACAGGGATGAATAATTAATTTCGTTCAGAACAATGATGAGGTGAAATAGGTAAGAACTAAGAATAACTAATTTGTGGACACGGTGAATTTGGTTGGTGGTAATAAATTTGATGTGTATAATTAATTTTGTTTAATATGGACAATTATTAGGTGAAATATGTAAGAATAATTGATTTGCTGAAGGAATTGGAATTATATGGGTTAAATATGTATTGTTACTTATATAGGTCAGAGTAATTATATGGGTTAAATAGGTATGAATAATTAATTAATTTCCTTTCATTTGAGCAATAATTTTTACCTTTCTTTAGTTTCTTTAGCTGTATAAATATAATACCACAATTCCCACACAGTATTTGGTTATCTTTTCCTGTCAATTTACTCATTTTAGGCGACTGTGATTTAATTACGTATAAGTTGCGTGTGCATTTTTTTTAATTGTCAATTATTAAAATTCATTATTGAATGTGATCTTTTTGTCCTTTAGCAGCTGGCAGAATAATTTAATTACCATCATTAATTGAATTATGGATGAATAATTATAGGCTGAATGATCATTTTGTTTCTTGTTTTGTTACACAGTGATAGTGAATGCATGCACAGTCACTGAACCTAGTTATAATATAGAAATAATTCTTATAAGAAATTAGTTATTAATCTGATATGGACTGATTTGCGCAGGTCCAAACTCATAAAAAGTCAACCATCTGGGCCAAAACTCATCAAAAGCCCACCATTTACCCCTCTTTCTGGCCCAGCCCACTCTCTCTCCGGGCCAGGCCCAACTCCCATCAGCCCACCAGCCTCTCAGCCTCTCTCTCTCTCTCTCTCTCTCTCTCTCTCTCTCTCTCTGGGAACTAATCCTTGTTTGACAAAAAAATCTCCATAGAAGCACAAGGTGGGAGGGTAAGATTAGTGACCGGTGTAGGTCTCGGATATGATGCTTTAATTACGTCCGAACATGTCGCACGATCCAAGCAAGATTATCTTTTCTTGGGTTAAATGCACTATGCACCCCTGAAGTATAATATAGTTTATGTAACACTTACCTATCATCATTAATTATTTTCTATTTGAAAATTTAATACACATAATCAACCTAACAATCCCATAATTATTGGATCATACAAAATTGAAAAGTAAGGAAAAAAAAAAAGTAATATATATATTGAATAAACTTGTTCTCGAACTTTTGCAAACAGAGTGGGTGCGCGGGTTGTGATACCCACCCCATGGTCGTTCCTAATTAGATATGAACAATTCCTTTAGTATTATCCCAATTGAAATGTGGCCCGTTGGCCCACCAAACCAAGTCCTATGCTTTGTAGAGAGAAGCCCAAATCAATTATCACTTATTTATGTGGGGCTTTTTCGGTTACTATATTGGATTAGATTAGATTACATGAGATTTGATTAACTCCCTACCGACTAATTAATTATTTAGTTAGCAGTATGTTCGGTTTCTTAGATTAAATTTTCTATTAAATTTGTTAAAATTAGTTATTATATACGAATTGTCTATAAAACCACCTAGTTTACAATAATAAAATATAATTATGAGGATAAAATCGTATTTTTCCTTTTTAGTAACCCCTATTAAATTAATCTTAGTGGGAGGGGTGCTACTAATTTAATGAAATAGTAGTATTTAATAGCGTGCTTTGAATTTAGTAGCGGGTTTGAAAAAGTGTGAATCTTACCTACCAGACATGTTATTAGTCCATACTTTTTAGTCAATAGAACTTTATAGCGGTAACCGAATGGACCATTAGTCTATAAAGCAGATTAATAATTCCTATTTAGTGGGATTTACAACGAGGGATTATTTTGGAGATCCCTCATTTCGAAATTATATATGACTAACTACCATGTGTATTACACAGTAATGCAAATCCTCAGCATTTCGATAATAATTTGACATACCCTCTCGGCCACCTTGAAGTACCTAAAATGTCATTTTAAAATCAGTTTTGAACCCTAGCCACTCACCGTCGTCTCTCTTATCATCTGTCAACTCTTAGATTAAAATCTCTCCTCTATAGATTTCCAACCGGCGAAGTTGCTTTCCGGAGTCATAACACTCTCTATGGTGGTCGGAATTCAATGGTTTAACTGCCGTTGGATTCCTCTCGTCGAACTCTTTTTTTTTTTTTTGTGGTGGTTTCATTCAGTTTGGAGCACTCGATCTGTTTTTGCAATTGTTTTTGCAGTCCGTGCGTATTTCGACCATGATGGGTCTTGTTGGAGGTGTAATTTGTGTTCCGGCAGTCGAAATTTGAAAATTGCAGTTTGACCGAAAATTGCAGTTTGACCAGAAATGTTGAATGCACTTTGACCGAAAATTACATATAAGAATAATGTAATACATTCGCATCTTGAAGAGGTATGTCAAAGGTAGAATCCGGACTGAGTCAACCCTAGTTTATTTAGTACCTAGGGGCATATAAAATAAGCCCGACCAATTACAATTCATAAGATCACGATTTGACGGTCCAAACAATATTATTTATTGATTTGGAATAATTTGCCCAAGCCCAAGTCATACGATTGAATAAGATTAAGAAGTGACCCAATCATTTGTAAAAGCCCACAAAATCCCATTTGACCCATAAATCTATGGGTTCATAGATTTGGGCCAAACTTAGCTATAAACACTAAATTGATATTGATATAATATATTGACTATGAAACAATCAAGACGAAGTTATTCATCATCACGAAGAAGAGAGTACATCCTCTTAGAGATGCCAAGATAATTCTTCGTCTATTGCCCGTTTGGATAATGCTTCTAATGTTTGCGGTGATTTTAATTTCCAATTACCGATGACTTTTTTCATCAAACAAGGCATGGCAATGCAGCGAAACATAGGTAATTTCAAATTCGAAATCCCGCCAGCTGCCCTTTAAGGCTCGATCACCGCCTCGATAATAGTGCTAATGCCTTGGTACGACACGTTCTCCGTACCGTTATGCAGAGGATGGGGATAGGGATGTTTTTGTCCGTAATCGCAATGATATTTGCAGCTATTACGGAGCAGAAACGAATGGAGATTAGTAGAAATACGGAGAAGAATTGTTTTGCATATATTTGTTGCTTCCTCAATATATATTGTTGGTATTTCGGATATATTTACCGTTGTGGGAATGCAAGAGTATTTTTACTCTGAAGTGCCGATCCAGATGAGGACCATGGGAATAGGCTTTATACGAGTTTCTTAAGCACGCTTCTTAATTTTAGAGTGGGCAGCGCCGTCGAAAGAAAAATAGGATTTTAGTTATTTTCATAAAAAGATAGAAAAAGAAAAACTTGGGACATTTTTTGCATTAATCTGAATTTGGGTGGACGAAATAATAACATTGGTGGACTTGAGTACGCCCTTACCCGATAGTGAACTCGCCCCTGGTTCCATTTCACGTAACTTTTTTATCCTACTTGTTAGAATTATTTATTATTCTTCTTTGTTTTCTTCAATTAAAAAAAAAATATTTTGATTTTTTATATAAAACTTAATTATTTAAAATTATAGGAGCACCATATAAAAGCTATAAATTATATATACATATTCAATAGATTAAAAGAAGAAGAAGAAAAAATTGAGGGGCGCCATGGCCCCCATGCGTTTAACTGGCTTCCCCACCGTTGCTTAGTGTAAATAATCGGTTGCTTCAACTTTAATTTTATGCGTTCGATAGTTCAAATGATTGCTCAATGGAAATCTGATTTTTTTTCTACTAAAAGGAATGTTGTTTATTATGAATTTTTTTTAATTTAATATAGTTTAAACAAAATTTAGAAAATGGAGGGAGTATATATATCTTGATAAATTAAGAGTTGTGCTATTTCCACCTCTAAATTATCTTAATTCACCACTAAAGATTATAAAACGTTATAAATACATCTCTATTTATAATCTACCACTCTTACTTATATTCACTTAGTCCTCATGTGTTATAAGTTATATCTATTTCTATTTTATTATTATTTTATTTCTACAAATTTTATATATTTATATAATTTTTATTTTTATTTTTTACAATGATATATTTATTAACAAGATAATTAAACTTCCATATTAGAATACCAACATATTATGTAATTTTTGAAGAAAATGAAATTATGTTAAGCCAAACTGGTCAATTCTAAAGAAAGTTCATGAACTTCCATAGAAACAATCTTAATTTACTTCTAAAAAAACGTGAATTCCTGCTCTTTTTGACCTTCGAAAATGTTTTTTTTCCGACGAAAGTATTATTCACTTAAGGTGGAGAGGGTGTTATTTCCATTGGAAAATGTGGATTCTTTTATAAATATTTTAATAAGTTTAGTGGTAGATGATTTATAAATTTATAAAA